AGACCAAGGGAGATCTATTTAATGGAACTAAACTCCCAGGAAGTGAGGAGTAGAGTTCCAGTGACATTGGTTGTCTTGAAGGAGTTCACCAGAAGAACCTGAGCTAATCTCCCTAATCTGACCCCAGGAAGTAAGTAGAGTTTCAGTGACCTTGAATGGAAAGGTTGGAGATTGGTTGTCTTGAAGGAGTCCACCAGAAGAACCTGAGCAAAAGTCTCACAGAGCAGCAACCAGACAGCATGTTGAGACAACAAAGCTCAACAAAATGTCTTGCTGAAGGGAAATGTGAATAATATTGATGCCAGGATTAGACACAGATAGGTGGAAGAGTACAAGGTAGGGAACGGGGGGGTACCCAAGAAGGGTGCAATATTAACCACAGTGGAAACAGGGCATTAGCATTCTGGGCTACAGCTAAGAAAAAGATTAGACTTCTACAAAAGGGGTCACCAAGGTACCCTGAGGAACGCTCAGGGGTTGAGTAATAATATAGCACCAAGAGTTCACCAATGTAAAGGCTACGGTGAATTGTGAATAGATGGGGAGTAAAAACCATCACATTGCTTTGCTGTCAAAGTTAGAGAATCTCTCATATGAGAGAGGTAGGTCTATAGGGGACCAGGATCAAGTTCCTGATGCAAATATTAGAGGAAGTGTATCCCCTGTGCCTAATGCACATGCATCTGTTTGGTCACTTGCAGTCAACTAATCGTGACATGGCTGGGGAGCACACAAAAAGGCCAAACTTTCCAAACAAGCCAATAGTCACACACCCAATGACATCATTAGTCAATAAAAGTATATTCAAACAAGGCAAGGACACGCTGCTGCCCCTGCCTTTGGACCACCAACCTCTGACCCCTTTCACCCTTACAGAATTAGTCATTGCGATAGAGTGGTGGCACTTTCCTTACAACCATGAGATAAACTTTGTTTGGGAATGTTTCAGAGCCTAGAGAGACTTGATGACATTATCCTCTTCCTCACATGACTGAACACTAGTGGCATTTGCTCTCTCACTCAGTAGGTAGTTACCAAGGGATTCATAGGAGAGCGGCCAAATCGAGCAGAAGTGGGGCAGGAGTGAGATTTCAATGGACCTGAATGGGCAAAGTACAGAGTATCTTTAACCAGGCCAGCTCCCAAACCTGTAAACCCCACCCTCTTTGGACCACAAGGGGTTTTTTTTTTCCCATATGCTACTAAGGAGTTAAATAGGAACTTTTTTTTTTTTTTAACTTGTCAGGTTGTTTAAACTGAGGACATATGCAAGTTGAAGCTCATCACTTTGATCTACAGATGAATGAAACAAAGTAGATTCAAAGGCAACCATAGGAGGATGAGAGGTGTCGCTGGGCAGCTCCGGATTTTACTAACACACGGCGCCCGACAGAGCAGGAGTTCTGTATGTGCATACAGTACAGCTCCTCAGCAGAGAAGTTCTGGAGACAAGACAACTGCAAATGGCACTGTGGATGACCGTTCCTACGCTGTGAGGACACTAGAGAAGAGAGCTTTGAAGTTGGAGGAGGAAGTGCAAAGTTTAAAGCTCTGTTTGTGTCCTATATGACGTATGAGTGGAGGTGGAGTGGAAACCCTGTGATCCCCTGCTGAGCTACCTGGAAATAAAGATTGGCCATAGAGGAGACCAGTAGTCTTTTGGCCCCTTGAGGGTCAGTGCGGGGAGGTGAGCAGGCACTGCTGCCATTTGAGGATTTGTTTGAGCACTAGAAGTGAAGATCACCGTTTTGTCACAAGTTACACCTGATGGACTTTTTATATATATATATATATATATATATATATATATAATTTTTATATATATATTTTTGTATATGCACATGGAAAGGTTTTTTGTTTGTCATATACACTTGTTCACTTTAAATTATTGATTATTAATTTTCACTCTAAATATTGAATGGGAAGTAGGAATTTATTTTAGATTTAAATATTATTTTCCACGGATTATACTATCTATCACTGATATATTATGGATTCAGTTTGATTTTTATATATGAATATGAGTTTGTTAATTTGGTAAATATTAGTTGTAGTGTTCCATTGATTAGTAAGGAACTATTAACACTAAAGCACTATTATTCACTGATGGCACTTTAATATATATATAGATTTATTTATCTAGCGCTTCACTAATTTAAGGTATATAATTGGTTACTTAATGGTTTAAGGTAAAGCGACAGCAGCTGTTGATTTAGGGACCTTGCCTGTATTGAGCGCAGGAGGATATTTCCAATTTCAAAGGTAACCATGTTACTTTGTATCTATCCAAGGAAGTGGTCTCCAAACTGCATCCCCGTTCTTGCCTTTATCCATCCCTTTGGCTCCTACTGATAAAGCATCTGACACCAACAATGGGGATATAATTCCTGCACTGACACCAACAATGGGGCACTATTCCTTCCACTGACAGGGTGCTATTAAGCCACTGGCACCAATGTTGGGGACACTATTCCATCCACTGACACCAACAATGGGGCACTATTAATTCCCCCAAAACCAAAGAAGGGACATTTACTCCTACTGAAGCCGGGACTTTTCCTACTCCCACTGGCCATGGTCTGGCACCCCTAAAGTCTGAAAGACAGTAACTGGAGAAAGTCTGGAGACCCCTGATTTAGTGTCTAAACAATGTTTATATACACTGTGTCAGAACAATTATTTTTTTTTTACAGAAGCAGCATTTACAGCTATTGTATTTACACAGCAACCCCCAATTGTCATTTTGATTGCTTAGCATTACCAGTATGTGTTAGGGGGAGCAGCAGTGGGGCAGAAACACTACATATGTACTTTGATTACGTTTTTTTTGGGCACGTGTAGTACATGCAGTGTCCAAAACTGGTTAGAGACAATATTATCAGACCATGCAATTCGACACCAATATTCCCAGAGGATTATATGGGCATGTAATGTATGATATGGATGTTATTTACCTGCAAAATCCACCCTTGTGTAGACATGAAAAAGCCAGAGCATGCTGCCATCTTGGATGTGATGTCAGCAGCCCTAAGTGACATTCTCTCCTTCCTCAGCATCTGAATAAACGGATATGTAGGAAGGTGAAGAATGGGTTAGAGGTGCTGGGCCAGCACAGACAGTAATTAGATATTTCAAGAAGAGAGGGCTATGGGCAGCACAGTGGCTAAATGGTTAGCACTGTCACCTGGCAGTACTCGGGTTGTTGGTTCAAATCCCAACCATGGCACCACCTGCCTGGTGTTTGCATGTTCTCCCTGTGCCTGCATTTTTTTTCCAGCTACTCGTTTCCTCCCACACTTCAAAGACATGCTGGTAGGTGAATTGGCTCCTGTTTAAATTGTCCCTAGTATGTGTATGTATGGATGTGAGTTAGGGACCTTACATTATACGCCCCTTGAGGGTTAGGGACTGATGTGAATGTACAATATATATGTAAAGCGCTGTGTAAATTGACAGCGCTATATAAGTACCTGAAATAAATAAATTAGAGGTGACTTATTGATACATAGCAAATATCCCAAAATCATCGTTTCCCAGAGTTCAACTTTAACAGCAATTTATAGATAGTGATGTAATTGCTATTGTCGCTAAGAAGTGATTGTTTCACAGGTACAGGTCATACTAGTGCCACACGCTAGCGTGGGTTTCCTCTGGGTACTCCAGTTTCCTCCCACATTCCAAAGACATGCTGGTAGGTTAATTGGATCCTTTCTAAATTAGCCCTAGTATGTATGTAAGGGACCTTAGATTGTACACCCCTTGGGGGTTGGGGGGGGGGGGGGGTAGGGGGGATGGCGCTATATAAATCCCGTATAATAATATTTGTAAAGCGCTGCGCAAACTGTTGGCGCTATATAAATCCCGTATAATAATATATATATAAAAAGCGCTGCGCAAACTGTTGGCGCTATATAAATCCCGTATAATAATATATGTAAAGCGCTGCGCAAACTGTTGGCGCTATATAAATCCCGTATAATATATATATAAAGCGCTGCGCAAATTGACGGCGCTATATAAATATCTGCAATAAATAAATATGCAATGGGCAAGGGAGGAGGGAGATGCGTCAAGAAACTGACACTTTCTGGCATGTAATTTCCGTAGCAAGTTTAGAGGCACATTGCATGGAATAAAAATATTTATAGAAAGAAAAAAATTATGATGAAAGTAAACATTTGAATTTACCTTTAAAAAAAAAAAAATGGTGACAGTGTCTCTTTACATTATAATGCAGTTCTGCAGAAAAACACAATACAAATGGTGCCCAGTGGCAATTTTTTTATTAATTTAGAAATGTGATGTATGTTCAGTAGGGTGACCTTTTCTTCTTCCAGAACTTTCTCCTTGTTCAAAGCCGTTTCCATTTTTCTCTGTAAACTAATAACAGCAGTTGCAGCCCCCCGGCTATGTTTGCAGTGGTGGAGGAACTTTCACAATTGTGCGCTCTAATCTCATCACCTCCACATTGTACAAACAGCTCCCCGGACCAGCATGGCCGCTCCTAATATCTGTAACCGATACACTGGCTTTGAAAGCTTACATCCCTATCTACATGGCTCGGCGGCGGTAAAGTCTTGTAGCTATAGAGGAAGAGGTCAGCAAAGGGTACGAGAGACTTCTCAAAACTTGACTTTTAATAAATTCTGCCGGGGTGCGCGACCGTGCCTGCAGCCGTGTAGACATCCAGTACACAAGATTGTTATCACAATGGAAAGAATGCCCTGGGGGTTAATAAGCTGTCAGTGAGCCGCCTCCAGCACTGTACAGAATCTCTCGGTGGCAGTCCCTTTCAGCAGTCCTGTTTGTGTTGGGGGCTGCAGGGGCCCTGTGCCTAAAGCCTGAGAAAACTCTAGCAGGTCCGTGTCATATTTTCCTGCTATAATACAAATCTCAGTTCTCAGTATGATGGCTACAGGGGAACGATTCATTTTCTGACCCGGAACACAGACAGTTCTCTCGGCCCCCTGTGAGCAGAAAATTCTGGTGTCTCGCCCCCATTACAGAATAATCTGATTCTTGAAGCTGCGGCTCAGCTCCTTGTGTGGCAGGACGATGGAGTTTAATATGACAACTTCTGCAGGGATGGACACATTACAGCCTGGAAGACAAATCAACAGATTAGAACACTAATGAGCAGATGACGTTCTTGATGGATGAGATGTACTGTCAACTGTAACCTCTCTACACACCATTGCCGAAAGTGACTCATTATACCAATGAAGCTGTAACCTGTAAAAAGTGAATGCAAACAAACACTCACCTTTCCTGGCGTCGTATTGCTGAACTCCACTCCGATCCTGAGAAATGATCCCCCCAAAGTCAACTTACACTAGGAGTAGAGAAGCAACCCAAAGTTCTACCTCCTGTGCTCAGGAGAGGGCCCCAAATTTAGGTAACCCCCCCCCTATTCTAAATGGCATGGATCCATCCATTACATTGAGTTTATATAGCGCCAAAGGGTTTGCTCAGCGCTGTACAATAGAGGGGGGGGACAATACATGAAACAGTACAGCACCAACAAACAGTACATGAGGGGTTAGAGGGCCCTACTCTTTCGAGCTTACAATCTAGGAGGGAGGGGATAGTGGTACAGGAGGAAGTGGCTGTGGGGGATGGAGTGGTAGGAGGAATGAAGGGGAAGGCTGTTAGGTGAGGGTGGGGTAGGCTTCCCTGAAGAGGTGGGTTTTCAGGGAGCACCTGAAGGTGAGGAGGGAAGGTGACAGTCTGATGGATTAGGGTAGTGAGTTCCAGAGGATGGGGGAGGACCTGGAGAAGTCTTGCGTGGGAGGTGGAGACCAGGGAGCAAGATAAAAGGAAGTCCTGAGAAGAGCGAAGGGTACGGGTAGGGTGGTACCTGGGAATCAGGTTGGTGAGGTAGTTAGGGGCAGTGTTGTGAATGGCCTTGTAGGTCAGAGTGAGTAGTTTGAATTTGATGCGTTGGGCAATAGGGAGCCAGTGGAGGGAGAGGCAGAGGGGGGAGGCAGAGGTGGAGCGGTTGGTGAGGTGGATAAGTCTAGCCGCTGAGTTCAGGATGGTCTGAAGTGGGGAGAGCCTGCACTGGGGTAGGTCGGTGAGGAGGGAGTTGCAGTACTCGAGGTGTGAGATAATCAGGGAGTAGCCACACCAATTCCACTCATGTATGAGCACCATGCCTTGCTGCCCTCCTCAGACTGGGGTAGTTCAAAAGGAACCATGTATAAAAGAACAGAGAAAGGGAGCATCAGCCCAGTGCATTATCTTTAAACACTGTCTATTAAAAAAAAAAAGTAGTCATTATATCTACAAACCAATAAAAGGAGCATGCTCATCATGAATATCTAAATGGAAAACCGCCAGAACCACTACACATACATCTTGTATGTTGGTAAAGAGGCTGACATGTTTTGAGAGGGGTCCCCTCTTCATCAAAGCTCATTTTAAGGGGCTTCCCCTCTTCATCAGAGCTCTGATGAAGAGGGGACCCCTCTCAAAACATGTCGGCAGCTGTAGATCCATTTGGCATCTTCACCAAGGTGTTTTGAGGTTGGACCCCTCTTCATAATAGCGCTGATAAAGAAGGGACCCCCCCATCGAAACATGTCAGTGAAGATGCCACATGGGGCTGCAGATGCTGATGTGTTTCAAGAGAGGCCGCGCTTCATCAGAGCTCATTTTGGGGAAGGGGGGGGGGGGGTTGGACTACGACTACCTTCTTCACCAGAGCCCCCCACCCCAAACCATGTTAGCATCTACAGACGTATGTGGCATCGGCATCTTCGCCAACGTGTTTTTCGAAGGGGGTCCCCTCTTTATCAGAGTTCTGATGAAGAGGTTACACCCCTCAAAAATGAGCACTGAGGAAGAGGGGGCCCTCCCCTTGAAACACTTTAGTAGAGATGCCACACAGGTCTGCAGATGCTGATGTGTTTCGAGGGGGGTACTCTTCATTAGAGCTCTTTTTGAGGGGGGTAAGCCGTGGATCCATGTGTGACTGGACACACAGAGCAGCGGGTGCCCCCATAGCAAGCTGCTGGCTGTGGGGGCACCTGACAGGAGGGGGGAGCCAGGAGAGCCTGTGGGGGACCTGAGAAGAGGAGGATCCAGGCTGTTCTGTGAAAAACCACTGCACATGGAAATATAGCATGTTTGTTATTTTAAAAAATAACATAACCTTTAGAATGGCGTTAAGTTCATCCCCTGATGCATATCACTGGGGAAGCAACTGCTGTTTTCAGAGACAGCAGTCAGAGAACTAAACAAGTCCCACGGACACCTTACCTATTAGCTACAGAACTCTCTGAAGGACAGATCAGCTCTGTTTTCCTTGATACCAAATATAGATCCAGTGCGGTCATATACACATACATTGGTTTCCCAAAGTCGACTCGCAATCTGACAGTCAACCTACCCTTTACAGGGTGAATCCCCCCCCATTCTTAGGAACTTTGGTAAAGCCTAGCATTGCTAAAAAAATAGTAGCTGCAGTTCTAGGGGCTTAAATATTTGAAGCACTGACCGGAAACAAGCTTGCAGACAGGGGCAGACTGACCATTTGGAAACTCGGGCACTGCCCGAGGGCCCGGAGTCAGTAGGGGGCCCCATGAGATGCCCCTGATACCTTTTTCATAGGATTTTTTGAGTTTGTGCAAGGACACAGGGGCCCCATGAACCCCTATTGCCCGGGGGCCCCATGAGTTGTCAGTCCGCCCCTGCTTGCAGATCAGAACTCTCCTGACTTCATGAACAGGGTTAACAATTCAGACAGTACTGCAATCAGAGGATCAGGCTGCAACTAGCGTTCCGAGAGAAAGGTCAGCACTGGCAGCCTATATATTTCTCTTGGCACAAGCTTCCTTTAATGAAACAGAGAAATCTGCAGGCTGCCATTTAAAATGACAGTTATCTAGCTGTCGCTTGCTTTTATACCCCAAGACAGTGACGTGGAACAAACATGCAGATTGGTAAAAAAAAAAAAAAAAAAAAAGTACTAATATGCACACTTGCTAGACCAGCAATGGGCAAACTACGGCCTGGCGGACCTTTTAATCCGGCCTGCGGAGCGTGATACTGTCAGGATGATCTGTCCCCTTCGACGTATCTGCGCATGTGCCGGAGATCGCCGATCGGCTGCTAATGCCTGAAACTGGCACATGCGCAGATACTTCGAGGGGGACAGATCCTCATAGGAGACAGATTTTCATGCTACACCGGAACGGCGCGGGAACACGGCGAGAGAAACGCACGGAGCAAAGGTAAGTGAATTGACACAGGGGGGGCTTGGGGACTTAATATGGGGGATGAATTACTATAGGGGGGATGAATTACTATATGGGGGATGAATTACTATGGGATGAATTACTATAGGGGGATGAATTACTATATGGGGGATGAATTACTATGCTTACTATGGGGGATTAATTACTATGCTTACTATGGATGACACATACACATCATTCATCTACTCTTGGTCCGGCCCCCGGGTCCAATATATGAACCCATTGCAGCCCTCAAGTCAAAAAGTTTGCCCACCCCTGTGCTAGACTGTGACTCAGCATGAAGGAGCCAGGGAACTGGTATTTTTAGAAAGAGAAGTCAACAATGGTGGCCTTTATTGTTCTAAAATGATTAGGAACACAAAGTGAGATCTACAGTAGCTTAATAGAGTCAAAATATAAAAGTTTTATTAATCAAGGAGGTCAGAACATTGGAAGCTTGTGTTGGACTGAGTGTCAGGAATCTCCAAAGAACTGCAAGGATTTGGAGACCAAATGGCCTTTTGTACCTTGAAAGGTTGTATCGGTCTGGTACTAATGCTTCCACAAAAACAGCACAGTAGCTAAGTGGTTAGCACATCTGTCTAGCAGCACTAGGCCTGGAGTTTGTATGTTCTCCTGAGCCTGCCTGGGTTTCCTCCAGGAACTCCAGGTTTCCTCCCACCATTCAAAGACATGCTGGTAAGATTAATTGACTTCTGTCTAAATAGGTCCTAGTATGTGTACTGTGTATGTATGAATGTGAGTTAGGGACATTAGATTATAAGCTCCTTGGAGGCAAGGACTGATGTGAATGTACAATATGCCCTATATTGCCAAAAGTATTGGGCCAGCCCTCCAAATCATTGGATTCAGGTGTTCCAATCATATCCATGGCCACAGGTGTATACAATCAATCCCTAGGCATGCAGACTGCTTCTACAAACATTGGTGAAAGAATGGGTCGCTCTCAGGAGCTCAGTGACTCCAAGCGTGGTCCCGTGATAGATGGCCACCTGTGCAATAAATCCATCCGTGACATTTCCTTGTTACTAAATATTCCACGCTCAACTGTTAGTGGGATTATAACAAAGTGGAAGCAACTGGGAACAACAGCAACTCAGCCACTAAGTGGTAGGCCATGTAAAATGACAGAGCGGGGTCAGAGCATGCTGAAGTGCACAGTTAGAAGTCACCAACTATCTCTGCAAAGTTAATAGCTAAAGACCTCCAAACTTCATGTGGCCTTCAGTTTAGCCCAACAACAGTGTGTAGAGAGCTTCATGGAATGGGTTTCCATGGCCGAGCAGCTGCATCCAAGCCTTACATCACCAAGTGCAATGCAAAGCGTCGGATGCAGTGGTGTAAAGCACGCCACCACTGGACTCTAGAGCAGAGGAGATGTGTTCTCTGGAGTGACCAATCATGCTTCTCTGTCTGGCACGCCAATGGACATGTCTGGGTTTGGTGGTTGCCAGGAGAAACGGTACTTGCCTGACTGCATTGTGCCAAGTGTAAAGTTTGGTGGAGGGGGGATTATGGTGTAGGGTTATTTTTCAGGGGTTGGGATTGGCCCCTACCTGTTCCAACATGACTGCACACCAGTGCACAAAGCAAGGTCCATAAAGACATGGAGGAGCGAGTTTGGGGTGGAGGAACTTGACTGGCCTGCACAGAGTCCTGACCTCAACCTGATAGAACACCTTTGGGATGAATTAGAGTGGAGACTGTGAGCCAGGCCTCCTCCCCCGACATCAGTGCCTGACCTCACAAATGTGCTTCTGGAAGAATGGTCCAACCTTCCCATAGACACCCTCCTAAACCTTGTGGACGGCCTTCCAGAAGAGTTGAAGCTGTTATAGCTGCAAAGGGCGGGGCCAACTCAATATTGAACCCTACGGACTAAGACTGGGGGGCCAGTAAAGTTCATGTGTGTGTAAAGGCAGGTGTCCCAATACTTTTGGCAATAAAGTAAATATGTAAAGAGCTGTGTAGAACTGATGGCGCTATACAAGTACCTGTAATAAATAAATAAATAAATAAAACACAAAACAGACCATTTAGCTTCTGAGTCCTGCCACACTGTCCGACACAAGCTTCCAATCCCCAATGAAGCTGAACATATGCAACCCCTGACATACCTCAGATATACATTTTGCATTGTATCAGTTAACGACTTATAAACGTATGTTTTTTAACTTAATAAAAATAAGGTTGGTGCTCACTATGTGCTCCTAGATGTTCTGAATCCTCCTGGGGTGCGCCCCGAGGCCCCCCTTCTGTATGAGCTGCCTTAGCCTGCGTTTTTTGCGTTATGAATCAAACCATTTTCCTTAATAATGGACTAAAAACAACCAATAGGTCCAGCGCCTCATACCCGCACCTCTCCATTCATCTTCGGTACGCCAAGCTCCTGCTGTGCTAAATTCTCTTAATACCAATAAACCAAGAACATCTAATCTCGGAGCCGTGATCCTGAAGGCCAGGGAGTATCAACTACTCTGATTAACAATTCACCGCAGTCTGCACATCCTGGATCAATAAAGTAGAACTAAAAGGCAAAACTTTATTAGTTGAAGAGTTATTAGAGTAAAAAGGGATTAGAACCCTTGTCAGTTTTTTTTTTCTGCTGGCTGTGGCTCTGCTAAGGAGATTCACCCTCTCTATTTGTCCTGTGCAGCATTATTATTGAAAGCAAATGAAAAAACAAAACAAAAAAAAACATTTTGGGATGTTCACAGAAAAGTAATAGAGGGGAAATTTTTCAATGGGGACACTAGTTCTGGAGACTTGGGGTATTTTCTTCTCACTTCCTGCTTGGCTATGGGACAGGAAGTGAAAGGAAATCTCCACAATGGGACAACATGGATGGTGAAAAAAAAAAAAAGAAATTATATATATTATATAACTTTAAAGTAGAACTATAGGCAAACTGCTTTTCTTTTTTTTTTTCCATTTTGGATAGAGTAAGAGATGGTTATAACCCCATCAGATTTTTATTTTACACACACACACACACACACACACACACCTATATCTATCTATCTGATGGTGTTATAGCCATCTCTTACACTATCCAAAAAAACAAAAACAAAACAGTTTGCCTATCATTCTACTTGTGGAACTTTAGGTTAAAAATGTAAAAGGGCTGAACAAACAATCAGGAAAGTTAATGCAGAAGAGACCTCCCTGCCTGTCTGCCCCTGTACAGTGAAGTGCACAGGGACAGCTCACTGTACACATTTGCAATGCTGAACTTGTCTGAACTCCTGCGCGTGTGATGTCATCCACGCCCAGCCAATGACAGCAGCTGGTGTTCGGTACCCGGAAGCCAGTCGCCTAAAGATGTCAGCGGTCAGGCGGGGAGCTCTGGGATGGTGCATCAGTGGATCAGAGGTTAGTATTGTTCCACTTTAAGAATTCACAATTCTGCTCCTCCCCTTCAGTCACCAATTAGCTTTGCATGCAGATCACAGAGATGCTGCAAAAGACCGAAATAGTGGAAATAGACTGAAGTCTCTATTAAAGTAAAGAGCCATTCCAGGCATCAGCATGTTATACATAGTTACATTGATCCAAGATGGAACAATGTAACTACATATATGACTTACCTGGTCAAAGCCTCTGGAAGCTGGAAACCACTAAAGTATACATCACTACTACAGGGATCTCCACTTGCTCCCCGGTCCCATGCTGAGCAGCCGGCCTGATATATTATGAATACAGGAGGTGGGGAGATGAGCCTGGGCACCATTTAGTGAATGCTTTGCGTTTTCTGAAAGAATGCAAAGCGTTCTGTGATTGCATGAAGTGAAGAGCGTGATATCACCCCCCCCCCCCCCCTTTCCACCTCAACCAATCAGAGAAGGAAGGCTTTTACATTCATTCAGAGAATGCAAAGCATTCTCTGGATGGCACCATTGCGGAGCATCCAACCTCCTGTGTTTACAATGCAGGAAGCAGCCGCTCAGCACAGGACCTAGAAGCAAATGGAGATCACTGTAGTAGCAATATCTACTTCAGTGGCATCAGCCAGATATGGTATATACATAGTTACGCTGGTCCAAGCTGGAACAATGTAACTATGTAGAACATGCTGCTGCCTGGAATTATTTTTTTAAGGCTTCTGACTCACCTTGGCAATGGTGAAACATATATATTTAGATTAAGGTAAACTAAGCACAATTTTTACTTTAACCTCTTGGCGCAGGCTGAAAGCAAATATGCGGCCTCCCGGCGTCTGGGCCTAGACGCCGAGCGCCCCACACATTTGTGTTCTATTAAAAAGAAAACATATGTGCCGAGAGCGCGCGCCCCACATGCTCCCAGCACACATGTTCGGTACTCACAGAAAAGTCCTGATCTCCTCTTTCGATCGGGACCTTTCCCGATCATGTGACCGCCCTGCCAGCGAATCATGGCGGTCACGTGATCCTAACACACCCTTCTGGAAACCTTAAAGGGACAGGAGGCGCTGGCGCCAAGGGGTTAAAATTAGAGCTGCAATGTTTGACGGTATTAGTAATTCTCTGATTCACCATTCTTGTTGCCCAGCATCCTCTTTAACTCTTAGGTGCTATAAACAGCATGCAATTAAGTAATTTGTTTTCTATGCAGAATCAGGCGGTTTTTAAAAAACAATAAGAAATGCATTCTTACCTAGAATAGTTATGGATGGGGTAAGCTTCCCTTCCCTGAAGAGGGTCTCACTGTCAATTTTGGCATACGGGTCATTAGGATTGGGGTCACTGGGTGTTCCTTCCACTCGAGCCCAGCGTCCAATGCTGCTGTCCCAGCCCACAATGGTATTCAATACACAGCTGTGATCCTGCAGACAGAGAAGACTATTGTTTGACACCATAAAATCTTTATCAGGTACTCACTGAATCGGTCAGGAATACCGCTGAGGTGCAACATTGTGAGGATGATTTACTAAATCTTGAGTGCACAAAATCTTGTGTGTATGGTAGCCAATCAGCTTCCAGATTGTTTTGTTGAAGCCTAATTGAACAAGCTGAAATTAGAAGCGGATTGGCTACCATGCACAGCTACACCAGATTTTGCAATCTCCAGTTTTAATAAATCAACCCTCCTGTGTACTATACAGTAACAAACCTTATACAAGAAAGTGTTGGCCCTTTCCACCAAGATTTTCAATACACGCGGCTGCAACAAAGACATGAAGAAAAAGTCTGAGGCCTCAGTCATGTCAGGGACATTGTCAGGAAAGTCCTCTGGCTCCCCCTGGCGGCTGCACTGAGATCACTTGTGAGCACAGGGGAAAAGTCCAGACATTTCAATAATGTCCCAGAATGCGGTCCCCATGAAACCCTGCTGCCATCCGAAATCCTGCCCTGACCCCCGCGGTGTTGTGGCTGCATCTCCATATTATACATGGTGATTCATTATATCAACTATAGTTCCTGAACACAAGAGTGGCAAAGGACAGTTCAAAGATGCATATTAGGGGAACTCGGCAGGACTTTGCCCGCTTGTACCCTGGAAGAGGCTGTGAGGGAAAATGACTTGGCATGTCGATCCAATATGAATCCTGGTTAATTAACAGTCAACAGTCTAACCCAAATATGCAGCATAATAAAGAGGAATGCCCCTCACCCGGGGTGCCCCTTAAGGCAGCATGAACCAGGAAAGCAGTGGGGGGTGGGGGTTTGGGGGGAGTCATCCTCAAGCCTCGCTGGAGGATGAGATCCTATTGATAGAAGGCAAAGAGGGATCTTTGGAACACTCTCTCTGCATCAGCACTATGGTTGCCCCCAGAGGGCCAGATGTATCTGTAAGACTAGATGTCCAGAGCACCCCCTCCATACATCAGAAGTCAAAAGCTCCCCCACTTTCAGAAGTCAAGATTCTCTGCCCTCCATTACATCACAGAGCATCCCTCTTACTCTGTGCTGCTGGGGGCAGAGCTGGTAAGCAGAAAGGGCAGGGTCTGGAGGAGGACCAGAGGAGGGCTGGAGTCAGCTGTCAGAGTTTGCTGAGACCAGGGGAGGCGGAGATACTGTGGCTGCAAAAAGAGGCACAGGATCTGGAGGAGGAGTTCTGTGCTCCTCTCTGCAGCCAACTGCTGAAAAGGGGGGGGGGGGGGGCAGAGATGAGCCTCTTTGCCATTGTATGGCGAGGAGCAGTATTGGAAGAGGAGTTCTGACCTCTTCTATGCTGCCGACTGCTGAGTCAAGGTGAGAACATAGATGAGGGAGGGTGCCGCAGCTGCAGGAGAGGTGGGAAAGCCACATGAAATGGCCTTGTGTTTGACACGTGTCCTAGAAGATGAGGGTCGAGGAAGATATCTACATTCCAAAGCAGCCAACAACATCCCAGTTGATTTTAAATCAGATAACAAAATGAAATCAGATTGGATGTTATGGGCCACCAACTTGGCATCATCAATGAGCCCAGCTGTACTGCATTCTACAGGAATAAGATCATGGTCACCTCTGAACAAGGATTACTATCCTGTGATTATATAGACACGTTTCAGGAGTTCTGCTCTCTCACCTGCAATGTAGCACCATGTAAGATAATAGACTCTCGCACCCGCACTCCAGCGCCTACAGTCACTCCCATTCCAACTGACACGTTTGGACCCAGCTGTGAAGAAGAGAAGAAATTTTACAGGAGACGATAAGCGCCACTCAACCTGATCTGTGGACACAGTTGCTGAGACATTATAAAAATATATTCTTGTAGTTCGTTAAAGGACGATAATTATTCAATCAAACATAGGAGTTATACTGCCACCTACAGAAGAAACTGACATTACACCTAACACACTTCCCTGTCCTAGTGTGAAAACGCTTCTCCTCCATAGGGCATCACAGTAGCCAAGTCGTTAACACTTCCATCTGACAGCACTGGAGTCATCGATTCGAATCTCAACCACGGAACTACCTGCCTTGAGTTTGCACAGAACTAGACAGGGGGAACCCCTGTGCCTGCGTGGGTTTCCTCCCACACGTCAAAGACATGCCCATGATGGTAGGTTAACTAGCTACTGTCTAAAACTGGTCCTACCATGTGTGTGTATGAATGTGAGCCAGGGACCATAGGGCTGGGACTGATGTGAAAAAAATAAATATAAAATTTTATTTTATATATATATATATATATATATATATATATATATAAATATCTCACTTCATAAATTATCGGCGTTATTTAAGTACCTGTAATATTATTAAGAAGAATAATAATACAATAAGTCAGCATCGTCACCGTAAGACAAGTATGAGGAGCCATATGGCAATTTTATCTTTATCGTGAAGCCGCAGTTACTTTGAACCTTAAAGCTGCATTCTGGGTTCTGTGAAAAAATGATCCTTGTAGTGGGGCGCTTTGCATTGTAAGGGTCAAATACTTGTCTTGTCTTGTCTAGTGGTAGAAATTAAGCAGTTGTACTTAACTTCGAGCCCATTCACACTTATGCGACTTGTCATGTGACTTTGGGGTCCAAAGTCACATGACAAGTCGCCCCCCCCATGTTTCCCAATGGGTACCATTCCTACCTGTGCAACTTCAAGTTGCAGCGACTTCAAAGTAGTACCGACTTTAATGTGACTTGAGGGCCATAAACGTCAATGTAAACCCTCACAATTTGTATGAAAGCTGCACATGTGACTTTGTGTGCGACTTTGTACAGCAGAAACAATTATCCTTGGTCAAAGCCAATTTTGCAATCATCCAAAGTCGCTCTGTAAAGTCGCAATGAAAAAAAAAAAAAAAAAAAAAAAAAAAAATCGCATGGTTTTGAAGTCACACAAATGTGAATGGACCCTTAATTCCTCACCCTCCTGGCAGTCGGCGCTCTTTTCTTTTCTACTCTTCGACAAGGATGTGGAGTTAGGCCACCCCAGGGTGTGGGTGGGCCCTGATCATCATTACTTACAATGCAGGATTGCTGGTCCTACATTGTATTTTATGATGTTGGAATGCCTGTGAGGAGTGGAGTGACAAAGTCAAGCGGTTTCAGGGGACCACTCATTCAACAGGAAGGAAGCTTGCTGGAGTGAGGAATATGGTAGGAACTGCGGCTTATTCCTCTACCCCTAGACTAATGAAGCCAAAGTCCCGATTTATCCAACAAAAGATAATACCTTTTTCAGGAGCAATCAAATACTCACCACAGGTGATTTGATCAGTTTCACTGCCTAGTGAATTACCACAGCTGTTTTCCCTGAGGGAAATCCTGAAAAAAATGAAATATTTTGTTTTGGCATGTTTTACCTGAGACCCTTTATTCAGAGAAAAAACTAGAGCAACAAAATACATAGGGATCACCTGGAATATGTCTAGCCAGGAGTGTATGAATCCATCCATCCATCCATCCATCTATCCATCCATAAATATTTTGTGTTGGCATGTCCATGTCTCCATCCATCTATCCATCCATCCATGTCAACCATCCATCTATCCATCCATCCATGTCTCCATCTATCTATCCATCCATCCATCTTATTTAACCACTTGCCTACCGGGTACTTATACCCCCTTCCTACCCAGGCCAATTTTCAGCTTTCAGCGCTGTCACACTTTGAATGACAATTGAGCGTTCATGCAACACTGTACCCATATTAAATTTTGAGCATATTTTTTTTCACACAAATAGAGCTTTATTTTGGTGGTATTTACTCGCCGCCGGCTGTTTTATTTTTTGCGCTATAAACAAAAAAGAGCAAACATTTAAAAAAAAAAAAAAAAAAAAAAAAAAAAAGTTTCTTTGTTTCTATTATAGAATTTTACAAACAGGTAATTTTTCTCCTTCACCGAAGTGCATTGATGAGGCTGCACTGATAGGCAGCACTGATGGGTGGCACGGATGAGGTGGCACGGATAGGCAGCACTGATAGGCAGCAATGATGATGCTGTACTGATATGCAACAATGATGGGCACTGATAGGTGGTACTGACTGGCGGCACTGCTGGCCAGCACTGATGGGTACAGGTGGGTGGCGCTGCTAGGCACTAATGGGCACAGGTGGGTGGCACTGCAGGGCACTAATCATCAGTGCCAATCCGTCCTCTGACAATTGCCAGTTTATCGGCAGTACTTTTGTGAGGAAAGTGCAGCCGATAACCGGCAAGTGCATTTACCGGGATCTGTTGTGTCACTGGACACGGCTGATCACGTGGTAAAAGACCGCTGTGATTGGCCTTTTACAACATCACGTGATCAGCTGTGTCCGTAAGACATAGCAATCACGGAGATCACTGTTCAATCCATATGACACAACTGCAAACCTACCAAGACATGGCCATCCACCTAAACTGACAGGCCAGGCAAGAAGAGCATTCATCAGAGAAGCAGCCAAGAGGTCCATGGTAACTCTGGAGGAGCTGCAGAGATCCACAGCTCAGGTGGGAGAATCTGTCCACAGGACAACTATTAGTCGTGCACTCCACAAATCTGGGCTTTATAGAAGAGAGTGGCAAAAAGAAAGCCATTGTTGATAGAAACCCATAAGAAGTTTGTGAGAAGCCATGTGGGGGACACAGCAAACATGTGGAAGAAGGTGCTCTGCTCAGAGGAGACCAAAATTGAACTCTTTGGCCTAAAAGCAAAATGCTATGTGTGGCGGAAAACTAACACTGCACATCACCCTGAAACACACCATCCCCACCGTGAAACATGGTGGTGGCAGCATCATGTTGTGGGGATGCTTTTGTTCAGAAGGGACAGGGAAGCTGGTCAGAGTTGATGGGAAGATGGATGGAGCCAAATACAGGGCAATCTTAGAAGAAAACCTGTTAGAGTCTGCAAAAGACTTGAGATTGAGGCGAAGGTGCACCTTCCAGCAGGACAACGACCCGAAACATACAGCCAGAGCTACAATGGAATGGTTTAGATCAAAGCATATATTTACGTGTTAGAATGGCCCAGTCACAGTCCAGACCTAAATCCTATTGAGAATCTGTGGCAAGACTTGAAAATTGCGGTTCCCAAATGCTCTCCATCCAGAGTTTGAACTATTTTGCAAAGTATAGGCAAAAATTTTACTCTCTAGATGTGCAAAGCTGGGAGAGACATCCCCAAAAAGACTTGCAGGTGGAACTGCAATGAAAGGGGGTTCTACAAAGTATTGACTCCGGGGGGGCTGAATACAAATGTACGCCACACTTTTCAAATGTTTATTTGTAAAAACTTTAAAAAACCATTTATCATTTTCCTTCCACTTCACAATTATGCGCCACTTTGCGTCGGTCTATCACATCCAATCCCAATAAAATACATTTATGTTTTTGGCTGTAACATGACAAAATGTGGAACATCTCAAGGGGTATGAATACTTTTTCAAGGCACTGTACAATGCAGAGAGTTAGCGTTGTCACTTTAGAACAGCAAATATGTAACTGCCAGATTCACCAGGTGAAAATAAGGGGGGGGGGTTTGAAAAAGAAAAACAAATGCAATCTCCACATCTAAACGACTGGTAAGCTGCATTTTATTACGTTTTTTTTTTTTTTTAGATTTTAGGTTATATGCTTTAACCATTTGCCGCCCGGCCAATGGCCGTTTGGCAGCCGCAAAAGCGCTTCGGCATTCCGGATGCACGCCATTTGGCGTGCTCCCGCACATGGGCAGTTCGTGCGGTTGCAGAGCCGCGTAGTGGCTCAATCTGTCACCGGCCGTGTACCTCGGACAAGGCTGTTGACAGATCTGAGTACTGACCCCCGTTGTTAGTACCATGTGACCTGCTGTGACCAATCACAGCAGGTCACATGACAGTTGTATACAATGGATTGCGTCATTCATGCCATCCATTGTATACTAGTGCCTAGCTGTGAATGGTCACAGCTAATCATATGCACATGTCATGTGATTAGCAGTGACCAAATCACAGCTAAGCACAAAAAAAAAAAAAAAAAAACCTGAATGAATCGATTTCATTCTGGTAAATGCTTGCTTATAGCAAAGTAATTCTTTGCTATAAGCAAATTGTGTAAAAAAAAAAAAAAAAAAAAAAAGAAGAAATACTGATCACTTCCCCAAAGTAGTACAATGTTACTATGGCAACATTGTACTACTTTGGTCATAGTAAAATATGAAAAAAAAAAAATCTTAAAAAAAATTTAATAAAAAATTAAAAAAAAAAAAATATATATATATATATATATATATATATATATATATATATATATATATATATATATATATATATATATATATATATATATATATATATATATTTTTTTTTTTTTTTTTTTTTTTTTTTTTTTCAATACTGTCACCAGTCAGTGTCCCTGTTCACCGCCATGCCAGTTATATGATGCTGCTGTACTGCACTGGTGACAGTATGTAAAAAAAAAAAATAGTGAAAATAAGTTAAAATTTTTTCATTTTCAGAAAAATGACAAAAAAAAATACAACTTCAAAAAACTCGCCATTCCTCTTATGAAGTACGTCAGACTGTCTACTCTGCAAAAAGGGGTCATTTGGGGGATATCTGTACTGTTCTGACATTTGGGGATATCTGTACTGTCCTGACATTCTTGGACCTCAAGAATTTAGATTGGCTGTCAGTACTTCAGGATTGATCAATAATCAGATCTATACCATAGTTTGTGAACTCTATAACTTTCCTACAAACTAAATAATACATCCTAATCCGAGTGTGAATGAACACCAGCTGGCTATGCCCGATTTAGCCGGCTAAGTTGGGTTTATTTTCACCAAAGACATGTAGCAGAATACATCTCGGCCTAAATTTATGAAGAACAATTATTTATTTGTAAACTTTTATAACAGAAACAAAGAAAAACGTGATTTTTTTTTTTCAAAATTTTTGGTCTTTTTTTCTTAATTTAGCAAAAAATAAAAACCCCAGCGGTGATTAAATACCACCAAAAGAAAGCTCTAGTTGTGTGAAGAAAATGATAAATTTTAGTTTGGGTACAATGTTGTATGACCGCGCAATTGTCATTCAAAGTGTGAGAGCGCTGAAACGTGAAAAATGGCCTGGGCAGGAAGGGGTAAAATTGCCTGGTATTGAAATGGTTAAAATTAGCACATAGCTGCAGGTTTGTAAACCTCCTAAGATATTGTGGTGATAAGTAAAGCAATGATATAGTTTATGTTGTATAAAATTACCTAGGATTGTCGGTCCTCCCTCCTTGGTTTGGGCGAGCCTTTCTGGGTGCGTTGTATGATACTGGCTCAGGTACAATCGACTGGCATAAATAGCTGAGCTGCAGCAAAATACCAAAGCAAAACAAATCCCGGTTAGCTGAATGGAACGCCTGATATACAAACCTTTGAAACTTAACAGCGTTTTAGCTTTTCATTTTCCTACAGTTGTCCTGGATCATGACACAAAAAAACTGTACAACTTGTAAGAGAGATTCCAATAAAGCACAAATATTCTCCAGAATCTTATCCAGCTATATATTAGAGGCGATTTACTAAAACTGGTGCACACAGAATCTGGTGCAGCTGTGCATAGTAACCAATCAGCTTCCAGGTTTTATTGTCAAAGCTTAAAGTGGTTGTAAAGGCTGAAGGATTTTTACCTTTATGCATTCTATGCATGAAGGTAAAAAAACCTTCTGTGTGCAGCAATGCCCCCAGCCCCCTCAATACTTACCTGATCCTCAACGCGATCCAGCGATGTGAATAACAGCCTTGCCTGTGCAGGGTCCCTGCCTTCTCATTGGCTGAGACAGCAAGTGGAAGCCATTGGCTCCCGCTGCTGTCAATCACAGCCAGTCAGCCAATGAGGAGGGGAGGGGGCTAAGCCACAGCTCCGTGTGTAAATGAACACAGGGAGCAGCAGATGCCCCCATAGCAAGCTGCTTGCTATGGGGACACCCCACAGACAGGAGGAGCCAGGAGAGCCTGCAGGGGACCCGATAAGAGGAGGATCCAGGCTGCTCTGTGCAAAACCACTGAGCACAGCAGGTAAGTATAGACATTTTATTATTTTTACACAAAAAAAAGAACCTTTAGAATCGCTTTAAGTGAACAAGTTGGAAGCGGATTGGCTACCGTACACAGCTGCAACAGATTCTGAGTGCTCGGGTTTTAGTAAATCTCCCCCAACGTGTTTGAATAGTCTAAATCACAATCATTCACTTACCCTGCTGACTTAATCTGACTCCAAAACCCATCTGTTTTATAGACATACAGGTGGCCTCTTCCAGCAAGAGCGGTGAATACGTCCTGTTCCAGCCGAATAACCTCAGCCCGCTGCCAACTCGAGTTCTCCTCACTGAGAAAATAAAGAGGACAAATTAGTTACTGGGAGCAACACAAGATAATTCTGCACCCGGCAGCTAGACAGAGTGCGGTGCTGTGAGCACAGTGGGCAAAGGGGAGGTCAAATGTGAGAGAACACAGCAAATATTTCAGTGAGCGACATGGCAAGCGCATTCTCAGTGATGTCACTGGTCTCTAGTAATTGGGTAGGCTGCATTCTCAGTGATGTCACTGGTCTCTAGTAATTGGGTAGGCTGCATTCTGAGTGATCTGACCGATCTCAAGCAAATGGATAAATTGCATTCTCAGAGATGTCTGTGGTGTTTAGTGAATGAATAGACAGCATTTTCCATGATGTTGCTGATCTCTAGTGAATGGATAGGGCATCTTCTACGCTGGCACTGGTCTTTAGTGAATGGATAGGCTACATTCTCAGTGATGTACCCGGTCTTTAGTGAATGAATAGGCTGCATTCTCAGTGATGTACCTGGTCTTTAGTGAATGAATAGGCTACATTCTCAGTAATGCACCCGATCTTTGGTAAATGGATAGGCTGCATTTTCAGTGATGTACCTGGTCTTTAGTGAATGGATAGGCTACATTTTCAGTGGTGTCCCCAGTCTTTTGTAAATGGATAGGCTACATTCTCAGTAATGCACCCAATCTTTGGTAAATGGATAGGCTGCATTCTCAGTAATGCACCCAATCTTTAGTGAATGGATAGGCTACATTCTCAGTGGTGTACCCAGTCTTTAGTGAACGGATAGGCTACATTTTCAGTGATGTACCCAGTCTTTAGTGAATGGATAAGCTACATTCTCAGTGGTGTACCCAGTCTTTATTGAATGGATAGGCTACATTCTCAGTAATGCACCCGATCTTTGGTAAATGGATAGGCTGCATTTTCAGTGATGTACCTAGTCTTTAGTGAATGGTTAGGCTGTATTCTCAGTGATGTACCTGGTCTTTAGTGGTTAATGCATAGGCTGTATTCTCAGTGATGTACCCGGTCTTTAGTGAATGGATAGGCTGCATTTTCAGTGTGTACCTAGTCTTTAGTGAATGGTTAGGCTGTATTCTCAGTGATGTACCTGGTCTTTGGTTAATGCATAGGCTGTATTCTCAGTGATGTACCCGGTCTTTAGTGAATGGATAGGCTGCATTCTCAGTGATGTACCTGGTCTTTGGTGAATGGATAGGCTGCATTTTCAGTGTGTGTACCTAGTCTTTAGTGAATGGTTAGGCTGTATTCTCAGTGATGTACCCGGTCTTTAGTGAATGGATAGGCTGTATTCTCAGTGATGTACCTGGTCTTTGGTGAATGCATAGGCTGTATTCTCAGTGATGTACCCAGTGTTTAGTGAACAGATAGGCTCCATTCTTAATGATTTCAGCAGTTACTAGTGAATGGATACGCTTAGAAGCGATAACACTGGTCTTTGAGGAGTGGACAGGCTATTAAATGTAATACAAACATATTACTATTCCTACAGAATAATAGGCAGGTTTCCAGTGTGGAACACATTAGAAAAATATAATCATGCAAAAGTAAATACATAGGGTGCTGGTGTGATTTAAGCTCTACATTGGATAGGTCTACACTGCCATCACCACAATCACCCCAATGCTCATGCCATGTGTCTGTGCCACACACAGCACTCACCTGATGCAGGAACAACTGGCCCAGCATGCAGGAGGAACGAGGGACACAGAGGCCGAGGAGAGAAAGAGAAAGAATGAATGTAAATGAAAAATTAATGGACAGAGAGAGCGGAGGACAGATGCAGGGAGTGAGGGTGCTGCAGCTAGAGCAAGGTGAGGAATAGATGAACTCACAGCTGTACATCCTGCTGATTGCGCTGAAAAACCTCTGCGATGTGCTGGAATATTGTTGGTGAGAAAAGGTAAATCCCACAGTTTATGATGTCACTGACAAATGTACTGGGCTTCTCCACATAATGCAGAACCTGCAGAGAGGCATTGAGAAGTTATACCAACTGCTGGACACTAGAGACCTGCATAATTCACAGTATAGACGTTTAATGAGACATGAAGAAAAAAATGTGAAAATAGTGAACACTGTACACCCTCCCCACCCCCCTGGTTGTGTTAGAATTACCTTTGGGAAACTTAGCTGTCAATGCCCATGCAGCCGGTCCAGGGATTTAGAAATCCCATCTCCCTTCTCTTCTCTATACAGCACCTTCCAGGAAGGACCAAAGCAATTTACTGTGCAGGCGCTGAGGAATCAGAATTGCTCGGATCCATCCCAGAAGCACTGCACAGAGAAGAGGGAGGAGATTATTATTATTATACAGTATTTATAAAGCGCCAATAGTTCGCTCAGCGCTGTACATTACAAAGGGGGACAGAACATGTGACAGAACAATACCAATACAATGCATAACATGAGGGGATTGAGGGCCCTGCTCTTTGGAGCTTACAATCTAGGAGGGAGGGGATGGTGGTACAGGAGGAGATAGCTGTGGGGATGGAGTGGTAGGAAGAGTGGAGGAGGTCGGCAAGTTAGCAGGGGGTGGGGTAGGCTTCCCTGAAGAGATGGGTTTTCAGGGTGCGCCTAAAGGAGAGGAGAGTAGGTGATAATCTGATGGGTTGGGGCAGGGAGTTCCAGAGGATGGGTGACACCCTGGAGAAGTCCTGGAGGCAGGCATGGGAGGAGGAGACCAGGGAACTAGAGAGAAGGAGGTCTTGTGAGGAGCGGAGTGTGCGTGTTGGGTGGTACTTGGATATTAGGTCAGTGATGTAGTTCGGGGCAGTATGGTGGACGGCTTTGTACGTCAGTGTTAGGATTTTGAATTTGATCCGTTGTACAATCGGAAGCCAGTGGAGGGATTGGCAGAGGGGGGGGTGGCGGAGATGGAGCGGTTGGAAAGGTGAATGAGTCTGGCAGCCGTATTCAGGATGGACTGAAGCGGGGATAGCCAGCGGCGAGGCAGGCCAGTGAGGAGGGAGTTGCAGTAGTCGAGTCGTGATATGATGAGGGAGTGGATGAGCTGTTTAGTGGTTTCTGGGGTTAGGAACGTGCGGATTTTGGCGATGTTGCGGAGGTGGAGTCTGCACGAGTTTGTTAAAGATTGGACTTGGGGCTGGAAGGATAGGTTGGAGTCCAGAATGACACCAAGTACTCTGGCCTGTGGGGCGGGTTTGATGGTGGCGTTGTTGGATGTGATAGAGAAGTCAATGGGGGGGGGGGGGGGTTGTCCGGGCTGGAGATCGGATATGTTGAATACCTAGACTGCTGGACCGGCTGCATGGGCACTGACAGCTAAGCATCCCCCTGAGGTACGTACATCAGAGACCACACGGGGTTAGTTCACCTTTTCCGAAAAAAAAATACAAGTCAAAGAGCAAGGAAAAGCAGCTTGGACAGCTAGAATGTAACAGGAAGAGTTGATTCTGAGAAGAGAACAAGGAATTTTGACCAGGATAGCACAATGGCTGGTTCCAGTTTTCACTATACACCATCTCGGGTGTCCAGAGTGCTGTAAAGAAGATCATAGTTGGCATGCAGGGACCTATAGATGTCTGCTAAAGCGAGCACACAACAGTAAGACACAAATGAGCACCTTTCTTTTAAAAGGCCAAAAGTACACTTTAAAGTGATTGTAAACCTTTGGATATTTTTTTTTTTCTTAGATAACAAACATGTTATACTTACCTGCTCTGTGTAATGGTTTTGCACAGAGCAGCCCTGATCTTCTTCTTCTTCTTCACGGGTTCCCCGCTGGTGCTCTTTGCTCCTCTCCTGTTCTGAGTGCCCCCATAGGAAGCCGCTTCCGATCAGGGGCACTTGTACGGGCTTGCATACATAGACACAGACAAGGGGCCTTGGCCCACCCCCCTGCTTCCTCTTCATAGAACCTGACAGCAGCAGGAGCCAATGGCAGCAAGGAGGGAGAGAGCCACACACTCAGTGCTGGATCGAGATTGGGCTCAGGTAAGTAAAGGGGGCTGGGGAGGGATACTACACACAGAAGGTTTAAAGCAGAGGATGCATTAACCTCCCTAGCGGTCTGATTATGTCAGTATTTCTGTGCTGAAAGCGGTACAATTTTTTGCATGGAAATATGTCGTTTTTTTTATTGTAGGCCTGTAATTTTTAGGAATAACTCACTGAAATCTGTCCGAACAAGAGTCTAGTAAACATGCCGGGTAGGATAAAATTTGAAACACGAAATCATAAATTATAATTTAATAAATAATCATAAAAAAATAATAATATAATAAATTTATTTCAATAATATAATCAAACCAAAAACACTGAAATTTGAAATATAGCGCCAAGTTCGCACATCGCTGAGCAAAGTCGCAAAATCGTTTTGTCTGATGAGGAATTTCCCCCACGAATCATTATCACTCAATTCTGCAAGTGGTTCTGATTTACTATCGCTGTTCTCTAGCCGGTCTAAAACCGCTTTTGACCTAAAGGGACGCTTTTTGGACGCCATGGACGTTTCTCAGTTTCCAGGCAGAAAGAACAGTAAAAATGCTGGCAGGGCTCCGGACAAAGCACTCGGGACAAAATGTATGTGAAATGGTTTGATACAGGAATGTTATACTATGTGATTTTAGTGTATTTAGTGAATGTCACTTTTTGTCATTTTCAAATTTCCCGCCATTCTGTCCCCGTACGTCCCGATGCTCGCAGGGGACGGAACACAGATGACAGATGCCGGCATCCGCCGGAGGACATTGCCGGGGACACTGCAGGAGGGACATCGCGGGAGCGCAGGACAAGGTAAGAAGAACAGATCCCGGAGCAACGCTGCATGGTATTCCTGAGTGTAGCTCGGGGTTACCGCTTGTGGTACTGAAACTTTACCCCGAGCTACACTCGGGAATACCGCCAGGGGGGTTAAAGTGAAAAAAACTAAAAGCTTTAAAAAATATTGCAATTGCAGCAGGTTGTCAGAGCAGCTATATTTAAAAAGGGAAAAAAAAAAGAAAAATCAGGAAAGCGGATTATCATTCACAAGAGGCTCTATGCAATCCGCAATGACTCCTAATTTGCACATCAGGGGCAGTCACCATGCACAATGCTGCCAAGTTATATTCTCCCCAGAAATTTCATCTTTTCCAATGGCAGCCTATAACACCGGATAGAAGATGTATTCCAGAAATGTCAGTAAAAAAAAACAACTGTACATTTATAAAACTCTTCACTACCACTTATAACAGAATGTTACCTTACAAATACACCATTTGCCAGCAGGCAGGCTTTTTATGGCAGGAGAGACATACTTCACCTCTTCTGCAATTAAAGCTTCTTACCTGCCTGCTTGCAAACTTCTTTAGAATGCACACCGAGATGCACTGGCCAACCAATCAAGACGGCCAAAGATGTCAAATCTGTAAGGACACTGGTGCAAAGGGAGCCTGCAAACGTGGCATCACTGGAGAGTTAGAGGAGCATGGCAGATACTTTAGTTGTGCCTTAACCACTTCAAGTCCGGACACTTTCCCCCCCTTCCTGTCCAGGCCAATTTTATGCTTTTTTGCGCTATCACACTTTGAATGACAATTGCGCAGTCATGCAACACTGTACCCATATGAATTTTTTAGCATTTTTTTGAGACAGATAAAGTTTTATTTTGGTGGTATTTATTCACCACTGGGATTTTTATTTTTTTTGCTATGTAAATTAAAATGTCCAAAAATTTAGAAAGAAAAAAAAAGGTGTTTTTCTTATAAAATTTTGCAAATAAATAGTATTTCATCATAAATCTTGGCCGAAATTTATTCCGTTATATTTTTAGTAAAAAAATAAATAAAAAAATAACCCTAATTAGTTTATAACCAAAATTATAATTTTTAAATATTTTTTTTACTTTTTTTTTTTATTATTTATTTTTTACATACTGTCACCCTAGCAGTACAGTGTCACCATGATGACACTGTACTACTTGTGGGGGGGTGATGAAGATTTTTTTTTTTTTTTTTTTTTTTTTACACACCGATTGCTTTTACATCCTTTATGGGTATAAAAGCAATCATTTCTCCATTCTTGCAGCCATTGAGAACTACTGAGTGAGCTGTGATTGGTCACAGCTTGTCACATGGTACAAGGCTATTGTGAATAGCTGTGCAACCATGTGACCTCTGTGACCATTCACAGATTTCACACGTAGTAAGCAATGATGTCAGAAGTGACATCTTGCTTATTACTTTGCATGTGATCACTGATTGGCCAATCAGTGATCACAGGATCGGGACCTCGTACAGAGGTCCTGTCCAACAAATCGGTGTTCCACTGTGTCCGAAGGACACAGCGGGCAACGGATCCGTGCTGCTGCAGGAGCACACAAAAGCAAGGTACGAGGAGGCCATTTATAAACAGCCACCCTACACACCACCGTCTGGCCGTTTATATACACAACGGCCGGACGGGAGGTGGTTAATGAGGTACTAAATGCTCTCAATCAACAGTAACTATTTTATTTATTTATTACAGGTACTTATATAGCTGCTGTCAATTTACGCAGCACTTTACATCTATATTGTACATTCACATCAGTCCCTAACCCTCAAGGGGCGTACAATCTAAGGTCCCTAACTCACATTCATACATACACATACTAGGGCCAATTTAGACAGGAGCCAATTAACCTACCAGCATGTCTTTGGAGTGAGGGAGGAAACTGGAACACCCAGAGGAAACCCACGCAGGCAGAGGGCGAACATGCAAACTCCAGGCAGGTGGTGCCGTGGTTGGGATTTGAACCAACAACCCGAGTACTGCCAGGTGGAAGTGCTAACCACTTAGCCACTGTGCTGCCCTTTGCGGTTACCATTACTAAATAGATAGGAAAGTATAGCATATTTACTAGTTTTAAACTTTTTTTTTTTTCCCCCTCATGCGCTTCTTGGTTTCTAGCCTAGGCTAAAATCATGTCATACATCCCATGAGTCTTCATGGGCATTTTTCTTTTAAATTTCATTTGGTGGAGGAGCTTTCACAGCTAATCACACTCTCCTGACTGCATGCCTGAGCTAAGGGAAAATGGATTCCAGGAAGTACATGAATCATCTGCCCTTACTCAAGATGGCTAAAGCTAGAAGTACTAGGGGGTTGCTTTTCAATGTGATTTCTCAATAAAATAAGGCATGGAGACATGGATGGATGGGTGAGCTTGCTTGAATATTAAAAATGAATCAAACAGCATTTTAAGTGGTGCTCAGGTACACTACCACAGTATTATTACACAGAACCCCAATTCTGCCAAATATAGCAGAGTCAAGGAAACACCCCAGGGATGAAGTCACTTTACCTCTTGAGTCTCTGCATTTGCCACAATGCAGCCGTAATTCAGGGACTGCGTCCGGTTTGCCTGGCAGAAGAGAAAAGGTTGTATTAAAACACAACTATTTAGATTTAATTAAGACATCTAAAAAAATAAAATAAGTCACCAGTAGCAAGTTTTATTTGTAGTTTTGCTTCTTTCAATTCTTTTTTTTTTTTTTTAATTGGATAAAATAGGGAAAGAAGGAAATTCTATCAGGTATTTGTTGCCCGTGCACCAATTACACATATTGTGCTTACTTTCTGCTCGCTGTAATAGGAAGTGAGCAGAAAACGCCACTGCAGGTACACAGACATTATAAAAAGGTGACAAGGTTTGTAACCTTCTCTCTGCTTCATTCAAAACTAAAAATGTCTGGAATTAAACTTTACATTGGAAAGTATTTTTAAAAATGTAGTACCACAAATGATATATTGGTGGAAAAAAAAAAAATGTACATATAAATAGAATCTAGTACTTTTATTTGGGGACATCCATAGTGTTTTTTTTCAGCACATTTACATTTTAACCACTTCCAGACTGGACACTTTTACCCCCTTCCTGACCAGGGCAATTTTCAGCTTTCAGCGCCATCACACTTTGAATGACAATTGCGCGGTCATGCCACACTGTACCCAAATGAATTTTTTACCATTTTTTTGAGACAGATAAAGCATTATTTTGGTGGTATTTATTCACTGCTGGGATTTTTATTTTTTTTTGCTATGTAAATGATAAAGTCCAAAAATTTTTTAAAAAATTTTTTCAAATTTTGAAAATAAATAATATTTCATCATAAATCTTGGCCAAAACGTATTCCGTTATCTTTTTTGTAAAAAAAAAAAAAATCCAAAATTAGTTTATAACCAAAAATTATAATTTTTAAATATTTTTTTTACATTTTTATTTTATTTTTTTATATTATTTATTTTTTATTTTAATTTTTTTTTTCTACATACTGTCACCCTAGCAGTACAGTGTCACCATGGTGACACTGTACTACTTGTGGGGGGTGATGAAGATTTTTTTTTTTACACTGATTGCTTTTACACCCATATAGGATGTAAAAGCAATCATTTCTCTTTCTCTCTGCCTGCATTTTTGCAGTCATTGAGAAATACAGAGTGAGCTGTGATTGGTCACAGCTTGTCACATGGTACAAGGATGTTGTGAATAGCCCTGTACCATGTGACCTCTGTGATCATTCACAGAATTCACACGTAGTAAGCAATGATGTCACAAGTGACATCTTGCTTGCTACTTGGCCAATCAGTGATCACATGCAATCAGTGATCACATGATTGGGACCTCGTACAGAGGTCCCGTCCGACGATCGGTGTTTCACTGTGTCCGGAGGACACAGCAGGCACCGGATCGCGGTGCTGCGCGCTCCCAGGGAGCGCGCACAAGCAGAGTGCGGGGAGGCCGTTTATAAACGGCCACCCGACCCTGCACTGCCACCGTCCGGCCGTTTTTATATACAACGGCCGGTCGGGAAGTGGTTAAAAAAATCAGGGCTTGGTCATGTTCATTATTAATCGTTTTTTATAGTGAAATAAGTTCTGGCATTCTGTCCATTGTCGCTGTTTATCCTCTATCTGTAGATTACACCAGAGGAACTTCCTGGTCCTATATATGCATGAAATGTTCTATTCCTCAATCTCTCTTTACAATACTAACGTCACCTATGTTCATACGTGAATATTGTCCTAGAAGTTCAATATCTCTCATGTGTTGGTACTGTCGGTCTGTATGTTTGATCACTTCTTCAAAAGGATTGAAATATAAAAAGTACAAACCTAGAAACTAATGTGGAGGAGGAAAAAAAAATTAATCCCAAGTAATATTTATTTATTTATTTCATATACTCAGGTACTTATATAGCGCTGTCAGTTTACACAGCACTTTACATATATATTGTACAGTCACATCAGTCCCTAACCCTCAAGGGGCGTACAATCTAAGGTCCCTAACTCACATTCATACATACACATACTAGGGACAATTTAGACAGGATCCAATTAACCTACCAGCATCTCTTTGGAGTGTGGGAGGAAACCGGAATACCAGGAGGAAACAGACGCAGGCACAGGGAGAACATGCAATCTCCAGGCAGGTGGTGTCGTGGCTGGGATTTGAACCAACAACCCTAGTACTGCCAGGCGGAAGTGCTAACCATTTAGCCACTGTGCTGCCCCAGTAATCTCCAACACAGAGTTTTACACTGAACTAGATTTAGAACTCTGACAGATGAAGGGTGTAGAGCGTGCAGAGCAGATCAGAGCAGTGGCACCTGGCACTAGGCTCAGACTAACCTGCTGGAGGATCTGCCAGTTGTATTCCCTACAAATGTAATGCCGCTGTCATAGGCTGTAAATGACAGCTCTCTAGACTGGAAAATACAATGCCTGGCCTATCCCTCAACACCTGCAGCCTACCCATTCTATGATGTTTCAGAGGTCTGCCCAAGATTCAAATGCAGGTCCTCCTCCCAGTGCCTGCAGGATCACCTTAGACTATCATTAGTCTATCACTATGCAAATGAGTCTGCCTGCCTACCCTTTACTTCCACCTAATGAAAGTGCCAGCTGCAGCAAGTATGAATGCCAAAAACCTGAGGTCTCAGCCCTGGTTCACACTGATGCGGTGCGGAATTCACAGAGTTTCCAGCGCGAATTCCGTACTGCATCACAATCGCACCCCGTTCATACGAACCGATGCGGGTGTGTATGTTAACAACACCCCAACATCGGTCTGCAAAACGCAGTGCGATGTGCAGAATCGGATCGCATAGGTGTGAATACCTTTGCGATCCGATTCAAGTGCGGACCAAAAAATGTATGGCTCTAGTCGCACCACATACAAATCGCATGTGATTTGTACAGGAATGCGGTGCGGTTCTTGTGCGAATCACATGGGATTTACCGCACCGCTGTAGTGTAAACCCGGGCTAAAGGTGCAGAAAACGGCGGCGCCGACCTGTGGCACCAGCTGTCTCATAAATTGACACTTAGGGGTTTATTTACTAAAGCTGGAGAGTCCAAAATCAGACTCCCTTCTGCATAGACACCAATCAGCTCCAGGTTTCATTGCCAAAGCTTCATTGAACAGCTGAGGTTAGAAGCTGATTGGTTTCTATGCAAAAGTCTGATTTTGGACTCTCCAGCTTTAGTAAATAAACCCCCCAATGTGGAAAAAGGTTGAAAACCCCTGAAAAACACAGAAATGTTTCACAGCAGCCCTTATGCATGATTGAGCTCACAGACAGCTAAGAAGGCAATGTGTGCTATCACTTGCTTAGTTCCCCCCCCCCAGAAAAAAAAAAAAAAAATAATCATTCGGTGTAGGCTTTTATTAGAAAACAAAGACACTAAAGTGAATTTTGTAAGATTGTTATCTATATATTTTTTTTTACTATATACAGTGTATAATGTATATTACAATTGCAAAATAAAAAAAAAAAGGATGTTTTTGTACCAGTAGCCCCTCTTACCGTTGTCCCCAGCATGATGTAACTGTGTGTGTTTTCATGCTGTTTCCGGAACTCCAACATCTGCAGGAGAGGGAACTCCGAGCACACATCTGCATTCATGACAAAGAATGCCTGTGGCCCGCCGGAGAGGATCTGGTCCCGGAAGTGATATATGCCACCGCCAGTGCCCAGAGCTGAATATTCCTGCAGGTACCTGGAAACAAAGAAAAAAACAATCATTATATTATATATAAATCATTATACTACGAGTCTGCTAAGTGAATTACAGTGACCTCAGTTTTACAAAGAAGATCCAGACACAACGGCAATTTTATTCCCCAAGAGTATTATCCCAAAATGTATGGGGAATTTAGCATTGAAAGTGGTATTATACTTTACTTTGGAGTATTATACTTTGGCTGGGGTCCCCAGTTCTTGTATGCCATGCTCTGCCTGTGCTTGCGTGGGTTTCTCATGGGTAATATGGTATCCTGCCCCCCCCCCCCTTAAAGACATGCTGGTAGGTTAGTTAGCTCCTGCCAAAATTTTGAATTCAATACTGCTTTAAGGCAGGTCTGCACTCAATTTATTAATTGCTTTATATAGTATATATACACACATATATATATATATATATATATATATATATATATACATACACATACATAATACACACACACATATATATATATATATATATATATATATATACACACACACACACATATATATATATATATATATATATACACACATACACATATATATATTGTAACAAGGTTAGCTCGACAGCGGGTGTGTGTGACCCCCTGGATGGGTGCACAACACAAAAAGATAGGCACAGCACAACAATAGTGGAGGTGAAAACACACAGGTGCAATTTATTTACAATATTACAGAAAAAATGATAAACCAAAAAGAAACATCAAACTAAATCCTGGCCAACTTGGCTACTTACTGCAACAACAGCTTTTCCCTAGCTACCCACTAGGTACAGCCTGCTGCTATACCTAGGTGCTAGTATGGGAGGTTAGCCACACAGGCTTTGGTCTCTCTGCACACAGATAACAGGTCAGCTCCACAGACAGTTCAGGCACATACATCTGGTTCCAGGGTGGAGCAACTCCCTAAGCACTCTGGGAACTTTATACAGGTGTTAATGAGCCCACTACCTTCAGCTGGGCATCATTATCTCATATGCTGAAGGACTCAGCACTTCCCTCTAGTGGTACAAATCCCCATAAACCCTGAACCTCGGACAAATATATCGTCCATCCAGGACGCAACACAGGTGATTTCACCAATATATACATACATCACATATATACATACATACACATATATATATATACATACATACACATATACACACACACACACACACACACACACACACACACACACACAGTTAAGGCCCACATTTTGCTGACATACCTTGACTAAGCAGTGTGGTTTTTATTGGATTGAATGCTAGGGATTGTTTTAGATTCCTATGGCACAGTTCACCTCACTGCCAAGAGCAGGGGTGTCAAAGCCACGGCCCATGGGCCAAATGCGGTCACACGTAGGTCTTCATGTCAGTCCATGATCTCTGTTTCTCCCCAGCTTCCCACATATTCCCTGACTGCACTGTCATTGTAAGGATGGGGGGGGTCTCTGACGGAGACACCTGGTGTACGTGGGCTCTCTGACGGAGACCTTTGATGTAGGTGGGTGGGGGGCACTCTGACGCGGAGACACCTGATGTACCGGGGGAGAACTCTGACGGGAGACATTCATTTCTAAAACTTTTTCTTCGGCCCTATGAGTCTTTGTAAATAATGCCTTGCGGCCCTCATACTACTGAAAGGTGTGGAGACCCCTGTACTTCAATATTATATTTCCAAAATGCGTATTGGTAAGCATACAATTTTTCAGCAAACTTGAAATGACAATGTGATGGGGGGAGAAATTTTCAAAGAACTACCTAGTTCTATACAAGTAAATGTGCCTAAATATGGTTCTTCATTCTTTTATAGATCTGCAAACAAATAGAACATTTCATTAGAATGCTGACCGGATAGCGACTTTAAACTCCTGCTGTGCTGTGACCAGGAAACGGCTGAGAGCTTCATTTGGCTGGTAAAATCCGATCAGGAGGATCTCCTTCAGATTGGGCACCTGTAGGGAGCAGGAATAACAGGTCTGAAGAAATTCTGCACTACAAGTGTAGGATACTACTTCTTCCTACTATAGCACAGTGGACTAGGGATTAGCATTTCTTCCTTGCAGCCATGGGGACCTTGGTTCAAATCCTAGGCAAGATACTATCTGCATGAAGCGTGCAAGTTCCCCCTATGGTTATGTCGGTTTCCTCTGGCTACTCCAGTTTCCTCCTACACTCCACAGATGTGCTGGATGGTTAATTGTCTCCTGTCTAATACAGGGGCGGACTGACAACTCATGGGGCCCCCGGGCAATAGGGGATCATGGGGCCCCTGTGTCCTTGCCCAAACTCAAAAAAGCCTATGAAAAAGGTACCAGGGGCATCTCATGGGGCCTCCTACTGACCCCGGGCCCTCGGGCAGTGCCCAAGTTTCCAAATGGTCAGTCTGCCCCTGTGTCTAAATTAGCCCTAGTATGTGAGGTAGAGGCCTTAGATTGTAAGCACCTTGCGGGCAGGGACAGATTTCAATATGCAGAATGTAAAGCACTGAGTAGACCAACTTCACTATATAAATGTGTAATATTATTATTACAATAATAGAACAGACCTGCCTACCACAATGCAATGGTGCCCCGGCATTGAAGGGACTGTTTATACCTAAACAAATTCTGACTTAGGAATTTTCTTGCCTCTGGACTTCCACATGGTGAAAAATGTTCAACGCTTACTTTACTTGTAACGTTTACAACAGGTTCACTTTCTTTCAGTGTTCACTTGGGAAATAAATACAAAGTGTCTGTGGATTGGTATCAACCAATTAGAAGTTAGCATTGACACTTAAAGTGGAGTTCAAGTGCAAATAAAAAGTCAGCAGCTACAAAAAGACACTCATCTGTCCCTCGATCCCACGGGGGTGTCTGTCTGCCCGTGTCTGTCTGCCCGTGTCTGTCTGCCCGTTTCCGTGTCCACCGTGTCTGCTGCCCTGTGTTCCTGCGCCCGGCATCATCTTCAGTGTGGGCACCCAGCTGTGACAACTTGCGGCCGGGTACTCACTGTGTATGTGCGAGTAGCGCTGTGCTTTGTGAATGGACCTGTTCCAAGTCCCAAAAGACTAAGGGGGGGACAACTTCTGCTTCCGATCGCCTAAGTCAGTGGTAATCAACCTTCCTAATGCCATGACCCTTTAATACAGTTCTTCATGTTGTGGTGACCCCCAACCATAAAATTATTTACCCAGTAATTATAATTCATGAAGTGTCGTTTTACCTCCAATACTGCTGCTTTCAACACAGCAGCTGCTTTCTACACAGTAGCTGCTCTTCACACATCGGAAATATGGGTTTTCCGATGGTCTTAGGCGACCCCTGTGAAAGGGTTGTTCGACCCCCAAAGGGGTCGCGACCCACAGGTTGAGAACCACTGGCCTAAGTGATCACAGTGCGAGCAGGTACCTATCAACTGGTCCCCCCCTCCTTAACGGGGAGAGGGGGACCAGTCATAAAGCAGAACTTCCCTTTTTAGGTGGAGCTCCGCTTTAAACTTGCACTGGACAAAACACTGGGGATGGGGTGAAATGATACTTTATTCTGGGTACAGGGGAGATTAGTTGTCTGTTGCTGGATCATCACCTTGCTGCAGGCCTCGATGTGATGCTGTAACATCGGAACTCCAGCCACTGGAAACAGAGGTTTGGGAACCTCAAAAGATAAAGGCCGAAACCTGGTACCTAAAAAATAAAAGGAGAGACAACACATTGGTTAAACCTTTTCTCTCTAAAATAAAATGAGGGCTTCTGTACACAAGTATAGGAGGCCTGGGTATACCTGGCGGAGACAATGACAGGAATAGGTACCAGAAAAGCACATTTCACTAAGCAGTACACATGTATGAGGACATTTTGTCCAAAGATCCTTAACCCCTTCCTGCTGCTGCCTCCCAGCCCTTTAATAGGATCTAAATGCCGGGAAGTGGGGGCGGGCATTAGGATCACGCGACCGCTGTGATTGGCTGTCATGCATCAGGTGCATTCTGGTACCTGCCGATTACAGTGCCGGTTGCACGCAGGGAGGATGCACTCAGCACAGTAGTGTGTTTACATAGGGCCGCATATATGTGGCCTCTTGGCACTAAAGCCCACCCACCGAGAGACCGCATAATTGCATACGGCCATCGGGAAGTAGTTAAGGAGAGCCGACTGACAGATCAGTCATTTCAACAACACAATCTCTGTAAGATTATATGTGTATTTAATTTATTTTAGCCACATTATTTATCTGTAAAATCCCCATTTGTGTAGATGTGTAAAAGCCCTGAGACTGCTGCTGGGGGGGCTGCCATCTTGAATATGATGTCAGCAGACCCAGAGCTGTCACTCAAGTGAAAATCTATAGATGTCTTTTTGAAAAGTCTTACCCCAGAGGAACCGTGAAATAATTTTTTCGTCTCAGGGAACCCCAGCCAAGATCAGTCCATCGGGGGTTTATTGGGAAAATGCCACTGAAAATGGTGGTCAGTGGGAAGAAGGTCCTCTTTACACTCAAAAAGTGGTGGTGGACCTGAAACTATGCAGACACCATCAGATGGAATATCAATTATTAACAGCTCAAAGAATCCCTATCGCCCTTTGGAGGAACTCTAGATGAGAATGGCTGCTCTATATTATTCTTCACTCCTCCCCCTGGAAGCTGCAATAAGGATATGTAGAGCAGTGAGGGGAGGGGCAGAGGAGCTGGGCCAGAACAGACCAAAATTAGACACTCCCTGAAGAGCAGAGGGCTAACATGTGAGAGGAGGGAATTTTCTAACAAGTTCAGATGCACATTGCAAGCAATAAAAAAAAATAATTTATAGAAAGAAAAAAAAAAAACACAAGTATACATCTTTAAAAAAAAAGTAGAGACCCCGTGTGGAGGCTTCCTGCCTAGCAGGCAAAGTACAAGTTCATTTTTAAAGCGGATTCATTCATATTCCTAGCGGTCTGATTATGTCCAAATTTCTGTGCTCAAAGCGGTACTTTTTTTGCATGAAAATAAGTATTTTTTTTTATTGTAGGCCTGTAATTTTTAGGAATAACTCACTGAAATCTGTCCGAACAAGAGTCTAGTAAACATCCCGGGGACGATAAAATTTGAAATACGAAATCATAAATTATAATTTAATAAATAATTATAAAAAATAATAACATAATAATAAATGAAATTCAATAATATAATCAAAGCAAAAACACTGAAATGTGAAATAGAGCGCCAAGTTCGCACATCGCTGAGCAAAGTCGCAAAATCGTTTTCAGTGTCTGATGAGGAATTTCCCCCACCAATCATTATCACTCAATTCTGCAAGTGGTTCTGATTTACTATCGCTGTTCTCTAGCCGGTCTAAAACCGCTTTTGACCTAAAGGGACACTTTTTGGACGCCGTGGACGTTTCTCAGTTTCCAGGCAGAAAGAACAGTAAAAATGCAGGCAGGGCGCCGGACAAAGCACTCGGGACAAAATGTATGTGAAATGGTTTGATACAGTAATGTTATACTATGTGATTTTAGTGTATGTAGTGAATGTCACTTTTTGTCATTTTCAAATTTCCCGCCAGTTCTGTCCCCCGTACGTCCCGACGCTCGCAGGGGATGGAACCCGAAAGACGGATGCCGGCATCGGCTGGAGGACATTGCCGGGGACACTGCAGGGGGGACATCGCGGGAGCGCAGGACAAGGTAAACTGCTGGAGGGATCGTGGAGCAGCGCCGCATGGTAAGCCTGAGTGTAGCTCGGGGTTACCGCTTTTGGTACTGAAACTTTACCCCGAGCTACACTCGGGAATACCGCCAGGGGGGTTAATAGCTTTACAGGTACAGTGCATGCTCTAAGCTATATGAGGTCTCAGTTAGGAGTCTTCATAGAAACTGTTCAGACTGAATTACATCACACAGGAAAGCGTGTTTGGAGTGCAGTATTGCATAGAAGCTGGATGCATGACAACCACACCTGGGAATTTAGCTCCTTTCATATATCTAGTTCTGCCAGCCCAAAAATAGTCCTCTATTGTTTGAAAATGTCATTTACAGAAAAGAGAACCCTGAGTGATATAAAGCAAGCCACCCGTCACCGATTAGATGTACGAGATCACCAAATTACCCAGCAAAAATAGAGCATGGAGGATGCAGATATAAAAAAAATATTTATGGAAAATACTGCAGCCTCTCTGTCCTCCCCTGAGCCCTTTTATACATGACATAAAAGGTGGTAATGCATAACATTCTAGAGATTTTACTATGGACAGTACAGTGGCTAAGTGGTTAACACTTCCATCTAGCAGGGTCTTCGGTTCGAATCCCAACCACGGCATTACTTGCCTAGTCGGTATGTTCTCCCTGTGCCTGCATGGGTTTCCTCCAGGTACTCCGGTTTCCTCCCACACTCCAAAAAGGCATGTTGGTAGGTTAATTGGCTCCTGTCTAAATTGTCCCTAGTATTTGTATGTATGAATGTGAGTTAGGAACCTTAGATTGTACACCCCTTGAGGGTTAGGGACTGATGTGAATGTACAATATATATGTAAAGTGCTGCATAAATTGATGGCGCTATATAAGTACCTGAAATAAAATAAAATGATACTAGAACTATATCAACACAAAAGATAATCAAAGAATAAGTTCGTCTTTTGCACATTTTTTTTCAGGTAAAGGTTTCTGGAGCCTCTAAAGCACGGGTGTCAAACTGGCGGCCCTCCAGCTGTTGCCAAACTACAAGTCCCATGAGGCATTGCAAGATTGACAATTACAAGCATGACTCCCAAAGGCATGGGCATGATGGGACTTGTAGTTTCGCAACAGCTGGAGGGCCGCCAGTTTGACAACCCTGCTCTAAAGCATTGCACCAGTGATCAGCAGATCGCTGTGCCATGCAAGTCTCCTGCAGACCTGTCGGTGTATGTGTGTGCCCGTACATCCTGTGTGGGCAAGCAGATACTTAGTAACAGGAAGACTCAATGAACTACCACAGCGCAGCGCTCCACAGTTCACTGAGAACGACAAGCCAGCAGCTGCAAAGGCTATCGGAACTTGTAGTGTTCTTACTCACAGAATACTGTGAATGAGTGACATAGGGTGGGCGTAGCTCCGCATGGCCGCGGTTTTTTTAAAATTGTGGCAGCTGCAAAGGGGAGAAGATCTCCCACTAGCTGTCACAATGGGGAGCGGGGAGGAGCAGGGGCCAGTCCGTTGGTAACATGGTTAACTGAATATGGGTGTTATGAAAGGTGAACTCATCCTTTAAAGTGGAGCGCCACACAAAGGGGGAAGTTTCACTTTGAGGCCTCCTCCCCTGCTCCCCTGGAAGACTACGCATTTTTTTTTTTTGTGGGGGGCAGCGGGTACTGAGTTTTGCGCAAGTCCACCCCCCCCCCCCCCACTTCCTCCCCAGCCACCATCTTAAATGTGGGCACTCAGCTGTGACAGCTTGCAGCTTCAGACAGATGACCTCTGCGTATACGTGAACCACGCTGTGCATTGTGAATGGTCCTGTAGTCTTCTGTGACCTGTTACGTGTCCCACAACACTGCAGGACCATTCACAATGCACAGCGCGGCTCATGTATACGCAGCGGGCACCTGGCTGTGAAGCCACAAGCTGTCACAGCCAAGTGCCCATAGTTAAGATACAGCACCTGGGACCAAAAAGGGGTGGAGAAAAACGGCTCTAGTGAGCACATTGTTGGATTGTGGGACAGGTAAGTGTGTGTTTATTAAAAGTCAGCAGCTAGTTTTTGTAGCTGCTGACTTTTAATTTGTATACAAAAGACTAGAGCTCCTCTTTAGTACTGGATTTTAACCTGGTTCCTCCGCTCCCCGTGCCATGCTAATGACATAGAAAAAAAAAAATGTTTTCACTATATACCTTGTTTTAGACCTAGGGATGCCATCATTTGATCTTATCATTACTAGGTCTCTGTGCGTCTCTATGCAATGTGGGCATCATGGCTAGGGAGAGGGGCTGGCAGAATGTTGTACATAGCTGTGACGGTAGTCACTTTGGGTGGTGGGGCCCATGGAACCCAGCTCTCTTTGGAGAGGTGGGGAGACCCCTGTCTCAGCTCCCCATATCCCTATTATGTGTAAGTCACCCTGTGCCTGTTAGGGGTACAGGGTGATCTGTCCTAATATTGGGATGGGGGGGGGGGGGGGGTGTTGATTGTTTATTGCCATGTGGTTGCATCCCATTGTTCTTTTGTGTGTCTTGCTTGGGAGCCAACTATTATGGGATGTATGTGTTTGTGTATTGGCTTGGTGGGAGTGTTTCCAGCAGCCCTCCCTCCTGATGGGACTGTCTGCTGGTGTGTCTCTTGTTACAAAAGGTAGATTGCCCCGCCCTGTGTCATTATGCAGGGAGGGGGGATTGCCCCTGAGTGTATATATCTTGTATCTGTGTTAAAATAAAATAGTCTATTTCCTGGTTTACTTCAAGACTGGTGTGGTCTAGTCTTGTATGGTCTGTTGTGGTGTCTATTGTCGGTGTTCAGACGGGGAAGCGGTAGTCTAACGGAAGTACCGAAGTACAGTCTGGGGACGGTTCCGTTACAATAGCTTCCTAAAAAACATCACAGAACCCTGTCTCAGTAATCCTTTCAACAGCCCTGATGCAAGCGGTGGAAGGAGTTATGCAAACATCAAAATGCGTTGATGGGCGGATATCAGTTTGGAGGAGAAGGTGTTCCAGGGCAGACTGCATTTGCATGCACACCACCCTAGGTAACGCAAGCATGTGATGCTGAGTCTGCATGATTGAAAGAACTGAAATTCGACAACTGAAAGGAGTGGGTCAGGGACAGTCAGACTGGGGAGGAACGGCTAAATGATGCTGGACGTCCTCCAGCCAGGACATGAGGCGGAGCTCTATCTGACTTGTTGCAGCTTCTAATGCACATTGTGAGAAACTCGCAGTGTGCAGTCAAATCAGAGGAAGCCAATTCAGTCCAGGAGAGGAACTAGTACAACTGTGCGAGACTGGAGGTCAGATTTAAAGCGGAGCTCCACCCAAAAGGGGAAGTTCCGCTTTAAGGACTGCACCCCCGCTTCCCATTAAGAATTGGCACCTTTGGGGGTGGGGGGTGAGCGGGTACCCGAATTTGACAGATACCCACTCCCACAGCAGAAATCCTCCCTGTAGTCTTTTGGGACACGTGACAGGTCCCAGAAGACTACAGGACAATTCATGAAGTGCAGCGCTTCTCGCGCATGCGCAGTGGGTACCCACTATGAAGCCGCAAGCAGTCACAGCCGGGTGTCCACAGTGAAGATGCCGGCCTCCTGGAATACAGGACGGCCAGTGAAACGGGCTGCGGGGGACACACCACGGGACCGAGGGACAGGTAAGTGGCTGTTTTATAAAAGTCTGCAGTTACAGTTTTTGTAGCTGCTGACTTTTATTTTTTGACAGGGTGAGTGGAACTCCACTTTAATGCCTTTTATCAGGGAGCAGTGGAAAGGTCAAACTCCTCATCCAGGAGCCAGGCTTAGGCCACATACCAGCAGCAATTACAAAGCGGGCCGTATCTAATAGGGATCTGCTCCAACCATCCCACCTACATGACTGTATAGAGAAGCTGTGTGGGGTGTGTCGGCTCATTGTGAAGACTCACCCTTCTGGGGACCTCCAATCAGGATCACTGCCTTCAACATTTCTGCAAAGTCTACAAAAAGAACAAAAAAAACAGAAGACACAAAACATGAGTAAATGTGACACGCAGCACACCCTGCATACATCTCCAGGAATCACGGCGTGTCACAAAGCCCCAGCTTGATGTATTTATTTATTGATCTGGGTGGAGTGGTGAGGAGTCAGAAGCTCTGCCATGTAACAATGGCCAGCACCCGGACCAAGGAGACCGGAGAGTAAGGTGCACATGGGCCGGGCAAGTCACAGAACAATACAAAGTAAAAAACCCAAGCCCCACCCCCTCCCCCCAGACCTTCCAGGGATTGGGGGGGCTCCCCTCGGGGGTGTGGAGATACCACAAGGACTTGGAGAGGGCTCTTCCTGTAGGTGAGGACCTACCAGGAACTGGAAGGCTCACCTTGTGGGTAATGACCTACCAGATACTGAGAAAGGGGGGTGGGAGTTGTCCCTGAGGACCTACCAGAGACTTGGGGATGGGGGGCTCCCTTTGTTGGTAAGGACCTACCAGGAACTGCTGGGGAGGGAGGGGGGTTCTTTAGAACCTAGCAAGGACTAGTGGGGGGGGGGGGAAGGCTACCTTTGTTGGCAAAGACCTACCAGAGATTATGGGGGGGAGGGAAGGGTTCCCCTTGTGGCTGAGGACCTACCAAGGACAGGGGAAGGAAGGGGGTCTGTCCTTGTTGCTAAAGAGCTATTATGGATGTGTGTGTGTGTGTGGGGGGGGGGGGGGGGGACATACTAAGGTCACTGTCGAGGCAGGGAGAGCTAACTTTGTAGGTAAGGACCTACCAGGAACTTTGGGGGGATGTTAAAGGGCTCATGAGAACCTAGCAAGGACTAATGGGGGGAGGGGCTCCCCTTGTTAACCTACCAGAGATTGGGAAGGGGGGGAGGGGTACAGGAAGGGTTCTCCTTGTGGATGAGGACCTACCAGGGACTGGGGAAGAGGATGGGGGCTGTCCTTGTGGAGGAAGACCTACTTATTGGGGACTGGGGAAGAACTGAGGGTGGCTCCCCTTGTGACTGAGGACATACCAAAGACTGTGGAGGGGCTCCCCGTGTGGATAACGACCCCCTGGGGACTGTGGAGGGGCTCCCCCTGGGGATGAGGACCCCCAGGGGGCTGTGGTGGGGCTCCCCCTGGGGATGAGGACCCCCAGGGGGCTGTGGAGGGGCTCCCCCTGGGGATGAGGACCTCCCTGGGGACTGTGGAAGGGGGGGGGCTCCCCCTGGGGATGAAGACCTCGTGGGGATTGTGGAGGGGCCCCCCTGGATGAGGACCCCCAGGGGGCTGTGGAGGGGCTCCCCCTGTGGATGAGCACCCCTGGGGACTGTGGAAGGGGGGGGGCTCACCCTGGGGATGAAGGACCCTCGTGGGGACTGTGGAGGGGCTCCCCCTGTGGATTAGGACCCCCTGGGGACTGTGGAGGGGCTCCCCCTGTGGATTACAACCCCCTGGGGACTGTGGAGGGGCTCCCCCAGTGGATTAGGACCCCCCAGGCATGAGAAAGGGGGCTCTCAGGCTCTGGTGTAAAGGAGGTCGGGCTCCCCTGTAGATAGACTCTGTGTATCTAGAATGCAGAGCTCAGTGACACCCCCAGCCAGGCCTGTCATCCTCCATAGGCTGTAGGTGAACTACCAGTCCCAGCCTGCCCTGTCAGCGCTCAGTAGAGGGAGGAGGCCCACCCAGAGAGCTTCCAGTCACACAGCCAGGCTGTTCCCCCCCAATGCAATACAATGACAGAAAGCAGCTGTCTCCCCTCTCACCTGTCTCTCCTTCTCCTCCACTTCCTCCTCTGTGGCTCCCTGTGGCACGTCAGCACCGCGAAGCATGCCGGAAGTTGTAGTTTGCCGGCTGGCAGACGCCTGATTGGCCGGCCGGAGTCAGGTGGCCCGGTTATAAACAGGGCGGGATCTTTGGTAACCAAGGTAACCGAGAACAGGTTTGTTTGGAAGCTTTAATGTCTGACTGTGTAGAACAGGATGGAGATCACGTGACGGGGCTTCTCCTCCCGGTCACCTGACTCCGCCTCCTGGGCACACCTCCATATGACTGCTCTCTGATTGGTCAGTGATTGTGCTCTGGACCATTCCGCGTGGGTGGGGGTGAGGTTATAAATATTTCACCCGAGATTCACTCATTTCTAGTTGTATCCAGTGACAGAAATGTGTGAAACTTGGGGGGGGGGGGGGGGGGGGGTGGGGGGGGGGGGGGGGGGGGGGGGGGGGGGAGGGGTGTATCTAAAGGCATTTTGGATAAAAGGAGGGTGGTAACCCATCAGGTTTCTTTGCCATCTGTGTCCCCATTCAGGAGATTTCCTTTCACTTCCTCTCCCCATAGCCAAAACAGGAAGTGAGTGGGAATTTCCTCCGAAAGTCAGGGAATCTTGGGTGTCACCAGAACTAGTGTCCCCTCTATTACTGTTCTAGGGACAACCCAAATTTTTGGATTTTCTTTTACTTTCAATGATAATGGTAATCAGGACAAATAGAGGGGGGGTCTCCCTGACGGGGGCACAGACAGCAAGGAACACTGACAGGGGGTCTAATCCACCTCCACTCAAAAGTTACAAAATAAAACATATTGCCGTTCATTCCACTTTATTTTTATATTTAATTCAGTACTTCTACTAGACATGCGCTGTTCATCGCCTTCCGGATCAGAATTCGGATCCAGGGAGACCAGATATAGTGAATGCAGGGGCTAGGGGAGAGCGGATATAGTGAATGCAGGGTCCGGGGGAGACCAGATATAGTGAATGCAGGGTCCTGGGAGAGCGGATATAGTGAATGCAGGGTCCGGGGAGAGACCAGATATAGTGAATGCAGGGTTGGGGAGGACCGGATATAGTGAATGCAGGGTCCGGGGAGACCAGATATAGTGAATGCAGGGTTCGGGGAGACTGGATATAGTGAATGCAGGGTCCGGGGAGAGCGGATATAGTGAATGCAGGGTCGGGGGAGACCGGATATAGTGAATGCAGGGTCGGGGGAGACCGGATATAGTGAATGCGGGGTCCGGGGAGACCAGATATAGTGAATGCGGGGTCGGGGGAAACCGGATATAGTGAATGCAGGGTCCGGGGAGACCGGATATAGTGAATGCAGGGTATCCGGGGAGACCGGATATAGTGAATGCAGGGTCCGGGGAGATCAGATATAGTGAATGCAGGGTCCGGGGAGACCAGATATAGTGAATGCAGGGTCCGGGGAGACGGATATAGTGAATGCAGGGTCCGGGGAGACCAGATATAGTGAATGCGGGGTCCGGGGAGACCAGATATAGTGAATGCGGGGTCCCGGGGAGACCAGATATAGTGAATGCGGGGTCCGGGGAGACCGGATATAGTGAATGCAGGGTCCGGGGAGATCAGATATAGTGAATGCAGGGTACGGGGAGACCGGATATAGTGAATGCAGGGGTCCGGAGAGAGGGGATATAGTGAATGCAGGGTCCGGGGAGACCAGATATAGTGAATGCAGGGTCCGGAGAGAGGGGATATAGTGAATGCAGGGTCCGGGGAGACCAGATATAGTGAATGCAGGGTCCGGGGGAGACCAGATATAGTGAATGCAGGGTCCGGAGAGACCAGATATAGTGAATGCGGGGTCCGGAGAGAGGGGATATAGTGAATGCAGGGTCCGGGTGGATGTAGTGAATAACGAATCAAAATGAAAGAAATTTTTATGTATAAATGCATTGTATATAAATCCCAAATGTATTCAAATGCCGGAACTGGAGCCTGGGATAGCAAGAATGTGACAAGGACGGGGGGGGGCTAACCCTTTCTCTCTCCATCCAAAACCATGGATGCCACTTGTCCTGTATGGGTCTCATGGTGCCGTATCCCGGGATCACAGCATCAGAACTTATCAGAAGCACTGGGCATGCTCAGTAACTCCAAAATAGTATTAACCCTAGGTGCACACCTATGCAGGTTGTTTGATACGTTTCTGCATTGCGTTTTGACGCATTTTCTTTTTTTTTTCTTGTTGCTAGGCAGATTTTTAACTCAAAACGCAGCAAAACGCATCAAAAAACACAATACTTGCTTTTCTGCAGTGTCTCCATTGAAGTCTACAGAAGCAAAAACGCAACATTTTTGGTGTTAAAAAAGTCCCTGACCATGTTTCCAAAAAAACGCATCGGGTGAAAACACAGAGATGTGAACCTGTCCCATAGGAAATCATGTTAAATGGACTGTACTGCGTTTCTGCAAAATTCAAAATGCTGCAAAAAATGCTCAGGTGTGAACCTGGGGTAACTGAGGGGATCCCAGCCACAAGTGGGCGGTCCCTGCATAATTAGGGGTAGGACCACTCAGGAAGTGGGCGTATTAAACTAAACTAAACCCTCCTCACCTTTGCAGCCAAGGATGCTGCCATATTAGCCTCCAATGGATCTGCAACTGCCATGGTGCTGCACATGTGATCAGCTATGACTCCGCCCATTTGATGGCATGACGGTTCAGTTGAGAGCAGAAGCCACTGTGGCAGTTATCATTTGCGGGATGCCTTGAATGTCACTATTTTGGGAAAGCGTTGAATCGATGGGTTTAGTGTCAGAACTCAGCTCGTTGATTAAGGCTCCATTCACACTTGTGTGACTTGTCATGTGACTTTGGGGTCCAAAGTCACATGACAAGTTGCCCCCCCCCATGTTTCTCAATGGGTACCATTCATATTTGTGCGACTTCAAGTCACAGCGACTTGAAAGCAGTTTTCTGAAATACTTTGGTCCGAGTTTTCATGCGACTTGAGGGCCACAGACTTCATGTTTAAACCCTCCAAAGTTGAATAAAAGTCACACCTGAGTGTCGTTACCTACAACTTGTGTGCGACTTTGTTCAGCAGAAACAATTATCCGTTAGTCAAAGTCAAAAGCTGGGGTGCAAGGAATGAGGGTTGTGAAGGGGCCTGGGGGTTATTTTGAAAGGAATGAGGGCTGTGAAGAGGCCTGGGGTGCAAGGAATGAGGGTTGTGAAGGGGCCTGGGGGCTGGGGTGCAAGGAATGAGGGTTGTGAAGGGGCCTGGGGTGCAAGGAATGAGGGCTGTGAAGGGGCCTGGGGTGCAAGGAATGAGGGTTGTGAAGGGGCCTGGGGTGCAAGGAGAATGAGGGCTGTGAAGGGCCTGGGGTGCAAGGAATGAGGGCTGTGAAGGGGCCTGGGGTGCAAGGAATGAGGGTTGTGAAGCTGTGAAGGGGACTGGGGTGCAAGTAAGTGTGGGGTGGGGGGGGGGTTGTCAGGCTGTGAAGGGGGACTGGGATGCAAGTAAGAGGGGCTGTGAAGGGGACTGGGTTGCAAGGTAGGGGGAAGGGGGAGATGTGAAAGGGGACTGGGTTGCAAGGAAGGGGGAGATGTGAAGGGGACTGGGGGGGGTGGGCACAAGGAAGGGGAGTGATGTGGAAGGGGACTGGGATGCAAGTAAGAGGGGCTGTGAAGGGGGGATATATGTCGTCCCTCTATAATCAGCACCACCTAGTGGCCATAAGGCATTTTTTTTAACCTGGTTGAGGTATTTATGAAAAAAAATGCCTTATGGCCACTAGGTGGTGCTGATTATAGAGGGACTACATAGCGGATTGGAGAGACTATGGTATTTTCATTCTAAACGAGCAAGTCATGTATGTTAGTTTGTATGTTTATTATTATAGGTACTTATATAGCACCATCAATTTACGCATCGCTTTACATATATGCAGTGTGTGCGTATGTTGTATGTGTTATATATGTATATGCAGTATGTATGTTGTATGTATATGCAGTGTGTGTGTTGTATGTATGTATAAGCAGTGTGTATGTATGTATGTATATGCAGTGTGTATGTATATTGTATGTATGTATTTATATGCAGCGTGTATGTATGTTGTATGTATATACAGTGTGTATGTATATATGTATGTATATGTAGTGCTAATGTAGGTTGTATGTATGTATGTATATGCAGTGTGTATGTAGGTTTTATGTATATGTATACAGTGTGTATGTATGTTATATGCAGTGTGTATGTATGAAGTATGTGTATGTATGCTGTATGCATTGTTTATGTATGAAGTGGGTATGTATGTTATATGCATGGTGTATGTATGTTGTATGTGTATGTACGATGTGTGTATGCGTATACAGTGTGTATGTACGTTGTATGCATGTATATGCAATGTGTATGTATGTTGTATGTATGTAAAATGCAGTGTGTATGTATGTTTTATTCATGGGGTAGCACCGTGGCTAAAATAGTTAGCACTTCCGCCTGGCAGTACTCAGGTCATTGGTTCAAATCTTAACCATGGCACCACCTGCCTGGAGTTTGCATGTTCTCCCTGTGCCTGCGTGGGTTTCCTCTGGGCACTCCGGTTTCCTCCCACACTCCAAAGACATGCTGGTAGGTAAACTGGATCCTGTCTAAATTGTCCCTAGTATGTGTATGTATGAATGTGAGTTAGGGACCTTAGATTGTACACCCCTTGAGGGTTAGGGACTGATGTGAATGTACAATATATATGTAAAAGCACTGCGTAAATTGATGGTGCTATATAAGTACCTGAAATAAATAAATTAAACGCAGTGTGCATGTATGTGTATTAGGTGTATACTAGAGATGAGCGAATCGAACATGACGAAGTGGAATTCGTTCCGAAGATTTGGAAAAATTCGATTCGCGACGAATCCGAAGATTAAGCAAACTTGGATGCACGAATCGAATTTTTTCCCAAAAATGGCGGCGACATGTGTGGCGACAGGAAAAAATGGACAGAGAAGATGGGGCGAGGATCTCTGGGAAGGCGCGCAGACAAGGCGCGCTGACCCATAATGCATTCATGAGTCATGAATCATGACATGTGATCGCATTAGCCAATCAGCAGCCAGCCAGCACTGTGTAATGGTGGAGCTATAAATCGCGGCCATCTTAGAATTCTCCCATTAGCCTCCGGTCATTCAAGAGAGACAGACCTGTCTGTATTAAGGGACAGAGTTAGGGCCACAGAGACTTTAGGGCCACCAGAATCGTTACTCAGGGGACACAGAATCGTTACTCAGGGGGCCACAGCTATCAAAGAATCGAAAATTTAAAGTGACATAAACCCTTTTTTTTTGGTGGCTGTCGTGCACAGTTGGTGCTGCAGTTTGCCGATTGTGCAAATAAACTGACTTTCTGCTTCACAACCACTATTGTACGTTCAAAGAGTTAAATCCGGTTTATTTTTGGGGTGCTTATTGAATTAAAGAGTATGTCAGACAACATGCAGAGGAGTGGCAGAGGAGGCAATGTTTTAGGAGCGAGCAGACGTGGCAGCAGAGGAAGGGGTCGAGGCAGCACTATTCGCAGCCAGAGGCCAGTGCTCCCGGTGTCATCCAGCGGTCGTGTCTCCACCGACAACCCTGCCGTCATCGATTGGTTGGCTCGGTCGTCTTCCTCTTCCCAGGTCACCTCTGACACTACAGCCAACGGTCGGTGGGTACGTCAGACACAACCGTTAGTTGGCATGGGCCGGGAGCAAGCCCCACTGAAATCACGTGTCCTCTACTGCCTGCCTGTCCTTTGGTGTTCCCTCACCAAGCGAAGTATCGCATGCTGTGGGCTCAGCCCCACTGTACAGTGAGGAAGCGCCAACAGAGGGCGGTCAGGAACGGGGGGAGACATCCGCCTCTTCAGCAGCCAGGCGAAGAAGTACTGGCGAGGAGAGTGGCTCGGTAGCCGGTCTAGAGACAGGTCTGTCTCCTGACCCACACGCAGCCGAGGGGGCTAGTAGTGAGGCGGAGACCCTAATTGATGATGATGAGGCTGATCGCACTTGGCAGCCTCGTCGTCATCAGGCTATTGCTTCCGCATCATCAGGAGAAGAGGGTGCCAGCTTGGCAGCGAGCAAAAACAGTCGGTGGGTTGCCCAGGAGGCAGCAGGGTCGCAGCAGTGTCAGTGGAGGCAAACGGCCACGGAGTAGAGCACCAGCTCCACTGCAGCCTACCACCACGGCCAGTAGTGGTGACGGTGTGCACGGAGGAAGCAGCAGTCAGCCAGTGAGGAGTAGCGGGGGCAAAGTTTCCTACTCGGCGGGTGTGGCAATTTTTCGTCACGCCGCCCGAGGAAGTAAACGTAGCCGTATGTCGACTATGTGGCCAGAAAGTCAAGCGAGTCCAGGGGGCCAATGTTTGGGACTACAGCGTTGCGTCAGCATATGCAGCGTCGCCATTTGGTGGCCTGGGAAAACCGTGATAAAGATACGGCGGTTCTGCCTGCCCCAGCCCCCGCTCCATCACCGCTCCGTTACTTGCTCCGTCACCCGACGTCAATCGACCTCTATCAGCCAGTCAAGGCTCCAACACCTCTGCTGAGGGGAGTTGTCGCTCGTTGGCATCTTCCGCTCGTTCAGATGATCCTTCTGCTACTCCTCTTCACGGATTCCGTCAGCAGTCTTTCTTGGAATCCGTTTCCAAGAAGACAACAGTTTGCGAGCACGCACCCCGACGGTGCAGAAGCTGAACGTCCTCCTGTCCAAGTTCCTGGTGCTGCAGTCCCTCCCTTTCCAAGTGGTGGACTCAGCACCTTTCCGAGAAATGATGGCTTGTGCCGAGCCGCGGTTCAGAGTGCCAAGCCGGCATTTCTTC